AGAAAGCACTACGCTTTAAATAGTTCATGTTTCTTAGTATCCTGTGCATTCTGTGCAATTTTGCACTTTCAAATGAATGCACAAAAATCCGCGGTTTACTTATTATCAATAGTAACTATAGTTGCTAGATTTAATCAGACGATAAAGAATTAATATACCTGAAGGTAGTACAGTTTTATTTCGTCATTATTATCGATTTTATCAATCGTATCTCATTGTCACTTATGATTTCAAACTAATTATTTTAAATTCAGACAATTTAACCCTTCACACTCGACAGATGACTTTCAGTCACCATTTAATTTGATATAGAAAAATCGTACAGTTCGATATTTAACATTAAGTTCTGCAAGAAACGTCAATATCTGAAAGACTGAAATAAAATATCTTCGTTTCTCAGTTCATGCGTGATTTCTTGATAAAAAAATGATGAAAATCTTTCGAGTACAAAGGGTTAATAAAATGTTAAGACAACACGAAGGTGGTAGGTATATAAAACTTAGAGTTTACGTTAATATGCGTTTAAAACGATGTCTATCAGTAATAATAAATTATCCGAAACAAGCATTTACATAACCCGATGCTCTTAGAAGTGTTTCTAATTTATTAGCAGCATAAACTCTAATTATTCGATTCAGTGAGTTTTCAGGTATAGCAGTTTCCTTTCGGTAAATATTATTCTTTAGCTAATTATAACCATAACTTATAATCAGACATGTTTGGATGTACGATACAATCTATTACAAGACGTAATAGAATTAGAATATAAATACTACATGAAAATTAAAAAGATAATCTTAAAGAATTCTTCTAAGCTGCATATCAACGCTCAAATCCATTTAATTTATATATTAAAATAAATATTTCAAAAAAATTCAATTAGCCTATACATATATTTTTCAATTTATATTTACTCTTCGTAAATGGTACTTATAATAATACTTTCACATATATCAATTCTTTTATCTTTTAATAAATGAACAGAGTTCATTATACTCCTTAACAGGGTTTAAAACCTTTCAATGGTTTATCAGAATTTATATATAAGTAGTGAAAACATCAGTTAATTTATGAGTGATCTACTGAATAATTACTATTTAGATTTTCAAAGTAATATATTTTTACTACATAATATATTTTTAAGTAGGTAACTTTTTAGTTACCTACGATTAGATAAATCGGTTTTTTCACTACAGACATAACAGAGTTTACAGGTCAAAACAAGTTCTAATATATGTAAATATGTGGATCTAATTCAAGTTCACAGTTACAGGTTTATTGCAAGGTTAGTTGCAATACCTGATTTAAATTACATATTATACAATACTACGTGTAACACAAGTACTTCAAACAATAATTTCTACTTTGTTTCACGCATTGTGCTATCATTATTATTACAAAAGAAAGTGTCGATATTCTTAATAATGGAACTGTTTAATAATCATAAAGAATTCGACAAATCCTATCAGTATTCTATTATTATATTTAAAACGATATGACAATAAATTATGTATTAACTGATCTATTTTGTCAATCACCTTTTGATTCAGTTCTATTTCACTTTAATCATATTTTTCATGAAAATAAGCAAAAATATCAGAAGTTGAAGATTTGTATCTTGTAAACAAATTCAAGATCAGTAAAATGTTGCGAAATGGTCAATTTAGTGTGCATCGTTTCTAAATCAAAAATTTGGCCATTGTACTTTGTATTTATCATATACCTATATGCATATGAACACACGAATGGAGAATATTGAATACCGAATAAGGATTTTATAAATATACTTGTTTTCTGTCAGCTGTCGAATAAAAACGAAACGTGATTGTGACGTGAATGTCCTTTTTGAATAAACAAACATATGTCAATAATTATTGCACTGAATATGTACGAATCTTTGGCATATATGAAATTGATATACTTAAATATAACCCAATACAGAGGAGAATTAAAAATCTTTTATTACGTATTAAAATGACGTCACTGCATATAGGGCGTAATTAAAGTGAAATTATAATATTTTTTTCGTTGGACATTCTGCGGTCGCAATTAGTCATTACAAGAAACATTGATTGTACACTTGGTATAGGGCTCCTGGCGTGATTAATGACGAAGGCACGAAGAAAAAGGGTTAAATACAATTACGTACATTGCTCGTCACAAGAAAATGACGAGTTGCGCATCGAAATTTATTTCCCGGTACCAATTAGGCGTAACGTTACGCCATTTTATTGTCGTCTCATTAAGCTTACCGAATTGGTACACCGGAATTTGATATTTCATTATGCCTCTTAATTACTGGCTTTTACGTTATCTCAATTTCTTGAATTACTAACTTACACTGTCTAAATTTCTTGTATTTAAAAATTCAACGTTATCCACAGGAAGAATCATTGCCGTTCCACCATTAAACATAGTCGCGTGCCGAACACTACTTTCTAAATACTCGTGAAGCAACTGCACGTGCGACTTTACACGCTCTAGATTTATTAAATGTTGGTGTCGATTCTTATTACAACCCGTGAAATATTGTTGCCTAATGAAATGCGCGTAACGAATATTTTAATATAAGTTTTTTCGGTTATCAAAATTGAAATTTTTGTTTCATATACAGATGCCTTTAAATAGTTTGCATGTTAAATTCTCGATATATTAACGAAAGGAGAAGACATAGATAACGAGAATGAACTGAACGTAAACAATAAGAAAATAAGGGCACACGTGTATACATTTAGTTTCTTCTTATACTTGCCTACACAAAAGTTACATAAAAAACAACTAAAACCTGCTGAAAAAATATCTCGTTTTTTAATTTGATTTTATTTGTATTAAATATATAAATTTTATATTATCTTTATTCCTTATTCACTTTTAAATGAAGAAACCATTAATCTCAGGTAAAAGGTAACAAGAATAATATGCGATCGTTTAAATGTTTACATTAAGAATTATTAACGTTTCGCTGCCATTAGATGTAAAAGAAATGTACGAATATTGTAACCGACTACACACTTAATAATTCGACACGAAATTTTATGTGAAAGTATTATCGCAGAAAATTTGTAACTAAAATCATTCAAAAAAGGTATTATAATGATGTTTAAGAAAGCATTGGAAAAAACACATCATCGTTTAGAAGCTGCGTCGTTAACAATAGGTACGACAATTTTGTCGTTAGATAAATTGTCAGTCAAATTCTAAGTCGAACGGTATAACTTTGAAACCTATCATATAGCGGAAGATGAGACAAGATGGGACAGTCGGTTATTTCGTATTATTATGCATTCACATTACTAAAAATAAAAAAACATCAATTATACAATAGATACTTTTCCATGGATTAGAGTCAATAATGTGGCTGCCGATTTTAGTGCGTTCAAATTTACGTTCAAAAGGACAATGGTTCTTTTTTAAGTAATTATTTATTTTAAGTATTTATTTTTGGTATTGAAACTATTAAGTTTTGTCGATCAATTTTAATATATTTTCATAAACAAAAATCAACATTTTTTTACAGGTACAAAATGAGTACATTTAGGCATATACTGATTTTATGCCTGTAAAAAAATACCTCTAAAAAAATGTTAGAGACTTTACTTGAAAATTCATGTAACTATAATTACGTATTACATATTTTATTTAACTCTTACTGTTATTACGTAACTAATTATATGAAATTAATATTAATCTGATTTTCACAGTTTATCTGAAGTGACTAGTTATTCTATAGGATAACTAATCATTTTATAGATTAACGATATTCTATAGGATACTGATTAACACATAATAATTATAGTACCAGAAATATCAATTGCATCACCCTCAAATTTACAAAGAATGCTGAATCTTCATAACAGTAAAATTAATAAAGTGATTTATCTATAATTTGTTTTGACCAATATATTAAATTACGCGTTTTTCCATTAAAAACCATTCCTTAATGGCCGTAATTATTCTTTTAATAACAAGAATATAGTAAGACATAATTGATTACGTAGTTATAATTCGAATGATGCAATAAATGTTTCCAGTATAATACATATATTACCCTTCATCCACAACAGATTCAAGGTAACAGCAATAAATATACGAAAATTAATTGATTAAAATTGGATAATTCAGTCACAGCAAACGAGATGTGATTATTCTTCCATTAAGATTACTTCGTGTCCTTATGTGTTTAATAAGTGTAATGATATACTTGATGACGCTATGAAATGTTTATAATCCTGTTTCGCACTGGGTGAACGTCATACCTGTTTGAGTTATGTGGCTTTCCCTAACAAATTTTGGAAAAAGTCAGTTTCAACCAGTCACATTAATTGGGGGAACCAGATTTCATAGGTTCACTTTGACACGTGTACACTCGCGCGCATAAACATGAAATTAATTTCATATTTTACAGAATAATGTTAAATCGTTGTGATTTTTTAGTGAATTATTTATCAGTATATTAACATCTACGATAACCATGACTTACTGCTTATGACCTTTAGTATTAATGAAAGCAGAGTTTTAATAAAAATGTAAATAACACCCATATCAAATTAATTCATACAAATAATATTTTTAATATAAAATACCCAGCAAAAACATTAAATGTTAAAATCTTAATGCTATAAACCCGTTTTCTCTTTCTTGTTGGAAATATCTTAAATGATTTATAGACTGTAAACACCTGCGCAAATTTACATAATTACAGGCTAATTTATAAGGAATATAAAGTTACAAAAAATGTAAGTTCTATATCAAATTCTCTATCCCATTCAGATTGTATTTTTGTTTATAAAATCATGTGAAAATTATAATCAAATTAACGAAACATAGTAACCTAAAACTACAATTAAACACAAAGCGATTGGATAAAATTTCTTTACAAGCTATTATGAGGTAAACAAAATCCCAAGACTAAAATATGTATTTCACATTAACTTGACCTGTGCACGAGGGTTAAGCTTCTGCTTCCTTGTAGCTCAGTTACGTCTATTTACACAGTACGAACACATAAAGTTCTTAGTCCAATCATTATCGTAAATAACACTTGGAAAGTGTATTGAACACAATATCCTACAGGCTCCACCGTTTCAACAAAATAAACATCTAGACGCTTAAATAATAGAACAATTATATTTCCGGATACTTATGAATCAGAGTGTACATGTATAGGTTTGGAGGAGTGAATGTCTACTGCCTACCGGGCACGTGTCACACGAACTGAGTACATATATACCACTGCCGTTCTGCGGGAACCAACAGTTTACTTCTACTGTTTGCCACCACATTTCTCCGAATCGTGTGTCTATTCGTCTCAAAGACAAAGTTATCAATAATTATTCACAATCCGCGCCAAAGAGGTATACAATTGCGACAATTGTACGACAACATGACATCTCATCGAGACATCTCTCATTCATACATTGACATGTGAAACCGGGCACATTTGTGTACATTTTCACAGAAAAAGTAGATAACCACAGTAAACACAGTTTTTCGTACCGTTTGAATAACTATTTTCATACATGTATCGATATGCTCGTGTATCATAAATTTATGCGAATCACAAATCATGAACAACAATGGACTTGATTCAGTTCGAAATGAATATATTTTATTTGAATAAAATTTGAAATAAATAATTACTTGAAGTGAGGCATTGATTGATGCATAAACGTAATTTCTCTTTGGAAAATATTACATTTTAACCACGTGAATAAGAATTGATATAAGTAGAACTAAACAATATATTTGAAATAATGAATAATAATAATTTATTAATTATTTTAGTAAGGAACATCGTTCTTTTATGTTTACTGTTAGACTCTAGAAGTATGTACGATTAATGGACTCTATAAACTAATTTATAGATATTTGAACTTAATAATTTCGTGATTGATAAAATAAAAATTATCTTCATTTAAAACACTTTTTTCTTTTCTATTAAATTATTCCGCGTTCATTTTCAAATGGAATAGAAAGATTGCTGCATAAAGTTTCTGTTACTCTTGAATTATTATCGAAATATTTTCCATCTCTGTTTTTAATCTAGTGAGAGACCGTCGTTGAGCAAGTACACAGTTGATTAATGATACCTCAAATTATCCTCCACAACACCACGGCAGAATTTGTTTGGAAATAAAAAGATCGTATATCTGAGTGCTGGTGTTAGTGTGAAAGTAAATTTTTCATTCGAGATTAAACGTTACTGAGTGGGGAGAACAGGGTGGTAACTAACGGTTCACGTTGAGTTTTCGACTTTTTAATTCGCTACGTGGATTCGTGTGCAAACTTTAAATGAACATACTCAGGCCGTCGTAATATTTTATGTATTACTGTTATTCAATTATCTCCTTTATCTCTATCGGTGATTTTATTGTTTCATTTGCCAAATGTAATTACATTACGTGATATACCAATTAAAACCTTCTAATTAGAGTAGTAGGTATTTCAAGTATATATTTATTAAACCTCGAACTTTCATTTCTACTTTCACTAAATTTATTAAGTTTTCAACATTTTTATTTATCCATTTTATTTATTTATCTTGAAATATCCCACATAATTATTCTATGGAATTATATTCGATTTTATTAAAACAATTCCATCGAGTAATTAGTTTACTTTATTTGTTATTCTTTTACGGCCGTTCGATTTTACACCAGTGAAAAGAAAGAATCATTTATAAAAAAAACTAGATCGACGGAAAGTAATGAAATAAATTCTGAAGTAATTATTCATGCGGAAAGCATATGATAATGAGCGCAACGCTATCGTGATCTAGTTCACAAGGGTGATGAGCAAACAAATGTTAACTCCGTAATTAAATATAGACTAGGAAAGGAGTAACTGATATTGCTGAATCGCAATGCTTGGTTGTCCGTAACAACTTTATCTAACACATCGTCACACTTCGTAAACCCCGCCGAGAGAAATGAAAAATTTTATGCGATGCATGAATGAAAATGATTTAGGTTCTATTCATATTCAACGCGAGTTTAACTACACGTTACGGACAATTTACCATTGTCCTATGGATTACTGCACACGGAACGTTTCCGTATGCTCGTATATATAATTGCGTAACTTTCTTCGAAATATTTGCTCGTTAATAACAGCAATTAATCTCTTGAAATGATATTTTTGGTTTCGTACACATCTATGACACGCATATATTTCAACAAAATCAGTTCAGAGAGAACACAACGGCAAATACGTGTAATGTTTGTTCTCATTAAAATTGAATAAATTCCTCAGTTTGAAATATAACATTTTTCTCGATTCGGGACGTCGCAAAGTTGTCTGAAGAAATATAAAGTTTCATAGAGAGATATTTACAAAGAATCTGGTTAGTAAGAAATTTTGGAAAATTTACTGATTTTATAGGTACTAAACCATAATGAAAGTGTTTTGGAGGATACTTGCTGTGAGTTTGTTGTGTTTGGAAGCAAAAAGAGTAAATGGTCTGCAAAGATGGGGTTCTCAGTACGGAAAGGCACCACTTTTGGAAAGATATTTCTGGAGAACATTGGACTTTGCCTATCCAGATGAAGCGAGTAGACAAATGGCGATGATGAAGGGAGATTATGTACCAGAGAACGCGTTACCTGTTGGTATCGAAATATGGCGAAACAAATTGTTTGTCACCGTACCGAGATGGCGAAACGGTAAGTTAGAATCTAATATACTTGTATTCGCAATATCGTGTAATTGATAATATGCACATGCTTTATTCTTATAATTAAAAAGCAAAAGAATTAATTCTACATACCTTATTTATCGTCTTGTGTCTTTTTCATTTGGATGTACTAGTATTCCAAAATCTTTTACAGCTATTATTATTAGAATTATTCGTTTCACACAATTTAATGATGTAACTTTCAGTAGATTAAAAATATCACGGTTATTATATTTATTTATGCAAAGTTTTTCAATTTCATCTTTACCTTGAATTTAATAAAGCAACTGATAAAAAGAAGACATATTTACTTAGTATTTTCTCTTATTAATTAACAGAATTAACGTATCAGAATTAAATTTTTTGTAAATATTGAAAGTCTATAATTAACGAAAAAATTCGTTTATTTGTTACATTTATTTATACAATTGTTTATTTTTATTACGTATAAGTAAAGAACACATAAGCTTTATTTGTATATATAAAAGAAAGTATTATATAGGTATATACTGTGAAAGGATTATATAGTCATAGCACCTATATAATATTTACATAAAAACGTCTGTACTTCCTTTTCGAACAATAATATACATATAAAGTACATAAATACGACATCAATTTTGAGTATCACTATATATATATATATATAGTGATGATTTAATTAATAATATATTAATAATATATATATACATATATATGTATATATGTGCGCTACGAAATCTGGAGTGGAAAACCGCAAACTGACACATAGTAAAGTGTGTAGAAGATGACCGCGGTCGGTGTATACCATGAATCTTGTCTGGCCCACTTCCGGTTTGCGACACGAAGTGCCGAAAACCACGCGAAAGATTTCAATACGGGATTTCAATCTCTCTTCACCACCGCCTCCGCTCCGACTAAAATCCAGAAAGGAAACAGGGAATGAATGAGGCTTATTCACTCTTATATTCTCGCATTTCCGATTTTTTTTCTCGGTACTTTAAGTTTATCACGAGCAACGACGCGCGCTAACCCATTGTGTACGAAAAACGCGAGCTGACAATGCTTTACAGTCTTTCGTATTAAGGAACTCAACCCCACACCTCTGCGTTTTCCTTTCGGCCGTGATTTCCTTACTTTTAGTCATTTTAATTGAGGTCAAAGTAGAAATTTTAATTTCGTTTATAGATTGAAGTACAATGGAACCTGTATGTTTCAATATATAAATGTAATCCATACATACTTATAACACCCTCTGTTTCTTTATATAAAATGTTCAGTAAAAAAGACGATTTCACATGGAAAAATAAGTCGAAAATATGAAATGAAATGTTGTTATTTAAAAATAGAATATTCCATGTGTAGGTGCATATTTACACCGAGTTGAAGTAAATGCTTTTAGAGAATTGTGAGGCGTGCTTTGAAATATTGCAGCATTATTTCTAATACCTCTTTTTTGAGGCTAATGATTGTCTCTTTCGAAAATAAAACGTACTCGAATGAAAGAAATAAAGTAATTTAAATGTTTCTATGAAGGTCTATAGTTCTATAAATAGAAGCAATAAAAAATTCATAATCTTACTGAATTTATCAGTACTTATAATCAATAATATTTCGAAACTTCTAATTGTGATTCATGTACTCCAACGGGCTGAAAATACGAAAGGGTAGTGGAAATATTTCTTGCATCATATAAATGGTTTCGTTGAGACTAAAAACTTTGTAAACACGATCGAACTATCTTGAATAACTCTCGTATGGTATTTGTGTAGAACAATTTATTATTACTGTTCTAATTATGCAAACATGCTTTTGGGTACAAGCTCTCTTCACTGGTCTCTCAAGCACAACCAAATGATCCTTTCATTGTTCCTCTCTCTTCATCTGTCTATTAAACCATTTCCATTTCGCTTCCGCTGTTTCTTTACCACATTTTCGCCTTGTTCCGGTCCTGTGATCTCCTCAACACTGTTCTGGAAGTTCTCGAAACGCGTCAAAGCCCACGGAGGTCGGCATTGTTTTTACGAAAAGGTTTTATTCGTCCGTGGCTTTGTTTGGCCCACTCTTTCTTCCGACGTCAGCCTCTCCCCAGGCAAAGAATATGAAATATTAAGAGAGGAAAGAAGAAAGAGGTTCCTGTCACACCGTTCTAGCAGAATGAATTCGGGACGTTCAATGACTTCCTTCCTGAGCTCCGGGGAAACAAATTGTTTTAGAATTCGGCGCGCAATCAAAGTGAAAACAAAACAAATTCAATATGAAATGCCGTGACCCCCGAACGCTATTATGTCGTTCTTTCGTTCGTTCGTTCGTTCGTTCGTTCGTTCGTTCGTTCGTTCGTTCGTTCCGTTCACTCCGAAACGAAAATATCTGCAAAAGTTCACTGATTTTTCCTGAGCTTATCGTAACATCTTCTGCCCTGTTTTGCCACTCGAAAAATTGACATGATCATGCAATTCGATCACGCGACACTATAACGTGTCGATAAACTTTTTTTATCGTTATCGATCTTGTAATCTTTTTGTTAACCTTTCTGTTCCCTGTCGAAATGTGTACCTTTCTAAAGTTTTATTCTATTGTCGAACATACACGTTTTAGATCAAATCGAATTCCGCGTGTCAGCTTATCGATAAGGTTGTTCACGCAATTCTTGGACTGAATAGCATGCAAATATTTCTTCATTTGAAGCGTTTACTTACTGCCAGTAGCTAACGTATGTAAGAACTAAATATTTTAGGTATACCGGCAACTTTGAATTATATATCTCTCGATGCAAATCGAGGAGGCTCGCCTAAACTTACTCCTTATCCAAACTGGGCGCAAAACAGAGCTGGGGCTTGTGGTAGTGCTATTACTACTGCTTACAGGTTAGTACAATTGAAAGTTCAACCACACAGATGCGATAATTGTTATTAGAAAACGAATTGTTATGTGCCCATAGAATATTATTATACAGTAATGATGCTTAAAATAATTACACGATATAAAACATTATTCATTAAAAATATTAAGGAAATGTTAATAAATACACAATTAGTATTTTCGCAAAAGTGTTCATCATATCGAACCCTGTTGTTTTTTAATCGAATTTCTGAAGAACCGCTTACTTTTGTTTTCTTTTGTAACAATTTAGAAATACAAAATTAACACCTACAGTCTTTAAATACAAGTATTTACAAATTATTGATAATAAACAAACATAGCGTAAACTGTTGCCATCAAATTCTGTTCCTGAAATGTTACGATTGACTTTATATTCACTGTTAGCTGCTCAGATAGCTGATAGAACTCTGCATAGTCCTTGAATGTTTAGTATATCACTATATAGATTAATGTATTCATTCTTTTTTACTTTCTATTTGAAAAACGATAGGTAAAAGAATTTTATTTAAGCGCGCGCAAAGAAATGAGCAGAGATAGTAAACTTTGTTACTTTCTTGTTTCAACCGCAGGGAGAACTCTACTCTTGCACATAGTCCTTAAACTTTCTATTGGAAATAAAAAATTATATGACAGCTATCCCGTTCGTTCATTTTTATTGCAAAACTTGTTATCGGCAAAATCATTCCAGAATACACGCAGACGCTTGCGACAGGCTTTGGGTGCTAGACACCGGTACCATAGGCATTGGAAACACGACAGTGCAAGCATGCCCATATACGTTAAATGTTTTTGATTTGACAACGGACAAAATCTTAAGGCAATATAGACTGAGACCCGAAGACATCAATATGGTAAATCGTTGTTTAAGTTTATTTAAAACTAGAGTTACATTGTACTTTACACTTTTATATTTGTTTCATTCGAAAGTAACACCGATTTTATAAATACTTGACTAGACCAATTTTCCATAATACCAGTACACTAATGTACTTACGACTTATCCTATCAATCATATAAAATGTGCCATAGAAAATGATACCCTGTCACATTTCGTAACACTGTGGCATGAAGAATGTTTCATATGATATTTAAATAAGTTTCAAAGAGTAAATGAGATAGAACATATTTTTTATAATTATGATATCTATTTTTCAGTTTTTTCAACACCACTTACGTATATCTTTTCATAGAAACGTACATATTTTTTATTAAATGTTTAGTATCCAATATTATTGTATATTTAAATATGTATAACATTGTAATTTTAAAATGATTTCGTACTCAAAAATGTTTGAATAGGATCGATATTGTTTTTCAACAATAAAAGTCAACTTGAGAGATAAACTACCATGTTTACTATCGTTCTACTAGAATCACGATGCTATAAATCAGAGAATGGAAATGCTTCGTTATGTATTGCTTCAAATAAGAGGAAATTGAATTGATTTTCATTGACGGTGAAAGTCGACGGTACCTAATGCAAACAGATCGGATATACATGGAACTATTTTGTGAACGTAACCGTCCATCACTTTCTACGTACACAAATACTGTTAAGATCTCATCCGTTTGAATTTATTCTTCAGTGTTCTTCATTGTTCCAGTGAAGGATTTATGGAGAGTAAACTATGGTAGCAGAGATTAATTAGAACTTAAATGCTAATATTAGATTTTTAATTATTGAAAAGCTTATGCAATGGTCTTAGAAAATACATATACCAGTCTCTTTCGAAACATCGTATCAAACAAACAGTAAAATAGTAAGTCTATTTATATAGTTGCATAAATATGTCGGTTATGATATATGTAGGGAAGATAAAATTATAGAAAAACAAAATAGTAGAAAGAGTATCTTGCGAATTATATGAACGCTTTTCAAAAACTAAAAAAAATGGTATTTTCAAAAAATTCTTGTTCTACTCTTATTCGCTTTTTGAATTCATTTAAATTGCATATAACAATTTTCATATCGGAAGTTTATTTTACGTGACACACCCTATATATAACGACTATTTCCATGATTTTGTTTTGTTCACCAATTTCGGTTTATAATCTTCATCAGCACAATAAGAAATCTATGCTGCTGTCCCGCCAATCCAATACATTAATTATCAAAACAAGAAATTAAAGAAATTGCATATTAGTAATGTGACTCTATTTTAAAGGGTAAACACAGTAATAAACCAACTAAACTGACCTAACATTATCAACACCTTAAGGGTCATATGACTTCTATGAAGTTAACATCAATTTAAATATCAATCCATCGATAAAATAAATCGAATGAATTTAATTAAACTCCCTCACCTTTCATTTCTATGACACAGCGTCACTTTTCACCAGTCTCCCTATCTTAAATGAATGAAATGTATCTAGTTCTTGGTAGTGGAATGACAAAAATGTAATTCATATAACACACTTGTGCTTCGCATTAGACACATCTCGTAACCTCGTCAATAAGAGATCTGCACTAATAAATACTGTGGTACAAAATATTTGATGCTCTACACGTAGATACATCAACTATCATTGGAATCTGCACGTACGAGTTGAGCGATACATCTTGCATTACAACACTGAAAAAAGTTAGCTCTTAAGTAGGTTCCATGGAAATTCCACAGTGGATTTCCACGATTGATCCGATCACGCAATTTCATTTCGAAATACAGTGAGACCCCCATATTGGGAATTGATTCCAAGTCGCGAAACAACAATAACGTAAAGAAATAATATGAAAATATCTTAAAAGTCAGCAAAGGTTTGAATGTAACTGAATCTGTCATTGAAAAAATTAATGCACTTTCTAAGCAAGATATAATCGAAATTTCCGGTGGCACGGAATGTATTAATGGGATTACTAATTTTAATATAACATTATTTTATTAGTTTATAATCCTATATAATATTATTGGACAGGAAAATTCTACAGAAAATGTTCAGAGGAACACAGATTATCTTTCGTCATATTCTATACTTATATAAAGACATAGATCTGTAAGAAAAATTTGCGAAACGCTTTGAAACGACTTCAGTTTCAATAATTTGTCAAATTCGAAACTCAAGATGAATGATGTAATTAAATAGAATTTGTCGAGCTGTGGCCAACCGCGGATGTTACAAATACTGCACTGTAAATGTGGAAAATACGTAACAAAAGATATGTGTTGTTTAGAACACATTCATTGCGAATATCGCAGTGGATTTGGGAAAAGGCGGTTGCGACGACGCGTTCGCCTACATGTCCGACGAGCTGGGATACGGATTGATCGTTTATTCCTGGGCACAGAATAAATCGTGGCGCGTTACGCACAGTTATTTCTTGCCGGATCCTCTAGCCGGCGATTACAACATCGGCGGCTTAAACTTCCAGTGGGGCGAGGAAGGTGTTTTCGGTATGAGCTTGTCCCCCATCGCCGTAAACGGATTCAGGACACTGTTCTTCCACCCTCTCAGCAGTAGAAGAGAATTCGCTGTCTCGACACGAATTCTTAGGAATGAGCAATTATCTCAGGATAGCTATCATGAATTCCAGGTAGTACATAAAATATAAGAGTAGTATATTTATTACGAACAACTTTATGTTTGTTATGAAAAAATTTCGATGAAACATTCAAATTCAACTCATATCTAACTCTTTGCACTCGGAAGTGTTCCGTTAGAAATATTTAACATTTTCTAACCAGACACAGACGATATTTTTTGAAATTAACTCGAAGACAAAACTGTTTTATCCCAATATTTCACACATCGATGCATTATATACAGTTCAATGTTGAATATCAAATTTTATAGTTTTACTACGTGAAATCAAGTGCTGACCGAGAGTCACCTCTCGAGTGCATAGGGTTAACTCTTAATTTGAACTAAAACATTTTATTTAATTCCTAACTCTTAAAGAGAATTCAGGATAAAATTTCAAGTATCGTAACCTTAAAGGATCAAATATTTTAACGTTCATTTTTAATACTTTTATGTTTATATTTTGCTATTATTACTAACGCTGTTAGGTTCTCCCTGAAAGGGGACCACTCGGTCACTGTACCTCTTCCGTGATGGACGAAAATGGCCTCCAATTCTTTAATTTGATCGATCAAAACGCAGTAGGATGTTGGAACTCTTTATTACCATACGGACCGCAGAATCAGGCGGTTGTTGTAAGACACGACAATGCTTTAATATTTCCGGCGGATGTTAAGGTAAGTTTCATAAAAATATCTTTCGAAAGTTATATTTTTCATAATGATGTATCGATGTCTTAAGAGTTATTACATTATCATTGTAAATGCACTATTCACATTTATACAGTTATATGTTTTTATAGTTTAATTTAAAATTTAATTTCTTATTTCATGGAAAGTAAAATGAAGAAATTAATTAATTTTATTTTAAGTAATAGTAGAGATCGTGTTTAAAAATCTGCAAATAAATCATTACAATGATTTTACGGGTTAACTGCTGAAAAACACTTTAGCATTACATTTACATGTCAACTTGTTTCTTTCAGTTCCTAATTTTTCGAGATCTGTTCGACTGAATAAATTATAGCTTTGTCTTTTCATTTACCGAAAAATTGTCACACAAAACGTCATGGTTTGCTGTTTTAATTTTTCATTGAATTTTTCTCTGCTATCTTGATTATTCTTTTCATTATGAAAAACTGGTTAACTCTTATCCGTCCGTCATTTTCGCAATTTAACACTTAATCAACTGGCTAAAAAAAATATAACAATAACCTTTCTCATTAACTTCGATTGAACACATTCAATTAATTTTATTAAAGACTTTATTGTATAAAAGCAAAAGATTATTTGAAGAATTGCATATAACTCCAATTCAAAACTTACTAAATAACAAAAGAAAAACTGAACAATATAAAAGGTAATGCGTTGCTAACGGAAAGTGGGTAAACCTGAATTGCGTGTGTCATATTGATACACGAGACTTCTTTTTGTAACAACTATTGTCTCATCTTTTTATTGTATATTTTTCCATTAATAATAACAGTATATACTTCATATTAAAAGAATAAAAATTATAAAATCTCAGGTGAATATTTTGACAAATTACAAAATAACATCATCTTTTACCAAAAAAATGTGTCACATCGACATAAGAGACGGATAAGGGTTAAGGGTTGTATTTTGATTTTTATTTAATCACGTGAAAATGAATTTTACACTCAAACTTGTATTAAGGAAAGTAATATAATTATTTATAGATAAATCGTGGAACGTTATGGATTATATCGGACAGAATGCCAGTGTTTTTGCTATCGACTTTGAATTTCACCGACGTAAACTACAGAATATTAACGGTACCCGTAAGAGACGCGATCGCTGGCACCGTTTGCGAAAACTCTCCTTGGGGATACGTCAGTAACTCCATTTGGTGGGAGCAATGAATTTCACTAAGGAATTCGCTGAAAATGTCAGACACTGCAAAAGTTTTGTACGATTTTGTACTGTGAAAATGATGTAAATCAAAATTTAAATAACCTCAACCACCTAAAAATATAATTATACAGATTTAATTACATTGCATTGTTTAATCCTCCACCTTTTTTTAAACTTCTGAACATTTATATAGATACATATTTTGTTAACATTATGAAGTATTAATATAAAACAATTTACTAACTATAGTTCTTACTTTACCTGTTATTACTTTTAACATATAATATTTGTTTGCTATGTATTTAGATTAAACGTCGGAAAATGTCTAGTTTCGGTAATTTATAGAGACAATAAATGATCTATGTATGGGAAATGAAAATAAAAATAATATACGTAATATTCTTGGAAGAAACTTCTGTTCATACATAATATTATTTATTAAATAACCAAAATCATATTTTTATTTGTTCGTTTATAACAAATACTTTTAAATAAAATAGATATTATCTATTTTATTTATTCCAAACAGAAGAATATTAGAGCTAGATCATTCGTTAGAAACCGTAAAAAGTTCAATTCTGTATGAAAATATTAAATGCTAAAAAGAGAAGGAGAGCAGATTTTAATAATTTAGATAATTTTTCATTGATAGTAATATGAAATTTTAAGAATAAAATTTCGATGTCACTATTGTAATAACATTCATCCTCAAAGTGTTAATTAGTTCCGTAAAACAACCAGGTAAAAGATCTTGTACATACAATACAAAAAAATCAGGAAACATGGAAACTTTCGTTCCCCCTATCTCGTTCTAGTTCGACAACTTCAATCACATAGTTGTTACAATTTACCGACCATTTCTAACAGTAATTATACACGTCTGCGAATAAATTCCAATCGTGAGAAAATACGTAGTTTATATCTATACACGTATACTCGTCAGCCGACTTTTCTTAATGTATACGCGCGTAATTCCGGGTCTTACACTTCACTAATAAGACGAGAGCTCACAGTGCACAGTAAAAACAACTTCAGGAAGAAACCTACCAAGCTTCACTTTCACAGCTATTCCACGCCGTTCTCAGTTCTAGAGAAACTATTACTGCAATTGAGGCTAACAACATTATAAACAGTTATATATTACTTTTAATCGATCGACATTTTCAGTCGTTTATCCATTCTTGACGGCACAATGGTCTTTCTTTGGGACAAGAATTTCACTGTTACTCCCTTTTATAGTTGACGAAACTTTATAGGATTCCACGTTTCAAAGGAATTCAGTAACACTGAAATACCATTGATAATTAACGACGACTGAACACTTTATTTAGTACCTAATAAATCTCGGTTTCTAAAACTTCCGTTTGCGTAAAGAAATATTTTGTGCAGAAAAAACTTCTTCAAATGTAAGGCCCGGAGCCCAAAATGAATTGTCCGGAATTTAGGGGCGGACAGAAAGGTTGAACCGTTTAACATCTTTGTACGTCAGTGTTAACAAAAATATTTAAAAATTGTTATTCTAATGTGAAATGGATTAAACAGTTAATCAAATTGAATATTAAAAAATATGATTGAGGACCGAGTTATTTACGTATCAAGTAAAGTAACTAATATACTTATGATTATAATAATTATAACTAATATGTTTATTCCAAACTTTCTAATAAATATTTAAATTTAATTTCAGTCTACGCAGGAAATGACTTTTTATTCGATAATTATTTAACGTTTAGTCCAATTTTTTAGTCCATTATATTGCTTATGAGACAATTAATTTTAAAAAGTAGTTGATTTTTCGGTAGAACATTTAATGTTAGATGGACACCATTCAAACTCTTCCCAGGATCGAAAGGTCGAGTTAACGGTGGTGTAGTTAGGTAAGAACAAACCCAACCTAACTGGACAATTCGTCCGGTGTGAAAATAGTGAACGAGTTGGCGTGAATCAGCCAGCCCCGCGGAGCCAGATGGTCCAACTTGGCCCATTAGTTTGGCCCTTGTTTCCGATAATTTGAAGGCGACCGACCATTCCGTGCTCTGATATACGATCGGATATCGCTTCCTCCCTCCTTTCAAAATTATCCGTTTCACGCCGACGCCCGTAATATATGGCCACGCGCCTCCCTTGTGTCTCGAAGTAACTGCCTAGAACAGTCTGCTAAAAGTAGAAGAATACTCTGATAACATTTATTCTGAATACGATATGTTAATTCTTTGCACTCGAAAGATTTTCCCCAGAAATATGGAACATTTTTCAATGAAATGTAAACGACATTCTTTAAAACTAACAAATAAGAAAACGTACATAAATTAAGAAACAAAGCTATTTTATTTCAATATTTGACATAACGATGCATTATACAGAGCATAATATTATATATAATACGATTATTTTGCTATATCAAATCTAGTGGCGACTGAGAGTCACCCCTCGAATGCAACGTGTTAAACTATCCATTATATGGTTTAAAACATTCTCTATACAAATATACAAAATTGTTTGATGAAACTGTAAAAAGTGTAAGCGATTAGAAAATTTAGAATCTCGACTGATCAACTGGTAAAATAATGAGTTATTTAGTATTTTAAAGTCATGGGATCATGTTTGAAAGAATGCAACTTTTAAACTTCGTCCTTCATTCCATTTTAGTTTTGACACGTTACCTCGGCGTATACTGCTTTCCAACATAAATTAAGTAGTTTACTAAATCGGAAGACCTTCATAACTGTACCAGATCTACTTGATGAATGATAGAAACATACCAATAAATACTTAAATCTCCAATTGCGTCAACAGTAATTTAACGCATGATTAATGCCAGGAATGTAAAACCATAACGTATACTTATGTAATTACACACAATGACACACAATTTTTTTAGTTCGCATACGTAATACTGTTTTGATGGATACTGAATAAAATATGCCTGTAAATATGATGTTTAGTGATGCTAAATAAATAAGTAAAAAACGCTTTCAGTTTATTTATCTATTACTTTAGATCTTAACACGTTGGCTATGCAATTAATAGATTTGACCTCACGTCAAAATTAATATATATATATATAATATATCTTATAATTATAATGCTTTTTCTTTAAATATTGAACATTATTGTTAAATAGAGTGCATAATACAATTTCTAACGTGTATGGAATTTTGACGTTGTTCAATATTAATTTCATAACCAACATGTTAAGATCTAAAATAATATATCAATGAACTGAAAACATTTTTTAGTTATTTATTTAACATCACTGTATGATCAATGCACATAGAAAAAGGATGAATGCGTTAAATTATATAGGCGTAAAAAAAGTAACGGAATGCGCAGAAGTAAGGTTCAGCCAGAAGGTTACCTAACTGGTCTCGTGAAAAAATGTACGATGTAATTTCTGTAACAATTTGAATATTAAGAACGATTTAAACATTTGGCGTGGGATATATTAATACCAGAATCTACATATCGCCCAGCACACCAATAACTAATGCTAAGATTAAAATGGCTCTGTTTAAATCCACTTCATTAGACTAGTATCTTTTTAATACTAAAATATTGATTATCCGAATGTAGTCCAAAAGGTCAGCAAATATTTATACTCTTCGTTGGAAGGCACGTTCTTAGAGTCTACCTCGGTGAAATATTTAAGATCCATGCTTAAAGACATAGAAAAATATTTTGAAAAATGTGAATTTAAAATGAAGTGAAGTTAAAACCGTATCCTCTAGTACTTTTTATTCCTAATCATTTAACACATTCCTAATCATTTAATCATTATTTAATTTATAAGATGAACACTAAAGATACTTAAATGATCCCGTTCACTCGATCCACCCTATGTGTCTCTGTAACCATTCCAGTACTTCATTTCATTGCGAAATTCGCGTACGCGTCGAAGTCCGGATTAGAAACGAAGGAATGAAAAACGGTTAGAATTGGAAAAAGGAAAATAAACGAGATTTTTGAAGCCAAAGGTAGCCACGTGGAACTCGTAATGAGTACCTCGTGGATGTCGACGAATCTCGTCTTCGCAACCCATAATTACCGGTGCCGGTAAAAGAACCGGAGCCCGATGAGTAGCCACCTTTTAAAAAGGTGTTAAAGCGTGCCGCGAGCGCTACGATAGGCGTTAATTTAAAACAAACCAAAGGATAGCCGCAATTTTGGGCGCTAGAAGTGCCAACAATCGTGTATCTTCGAAACTCGTGTTTCAATGATGTATCAAACAAATAATGTACCTACATAACTTTCGAAAAAAGATATGATACTCGGTATAATGGATTGTTCAAGTTTGATTAATTGATTGTAGCTGTTTAAGTAAATACAATCTTTTATAGAGAAATTTTATCGTATAAAAATAATATTTCAAATAAACGATAGTATGACATTAATAGTTTTATATATGTAACGTAATAGTTTTACCTATACATTTTCAATTCCTAAAGGCATTGATATTTAAGGTCAAATAAGTAATATGCTTTGGACCAACGAATGGACTGTAATTTGTATGAAATAATCTAACAAAGTAGAACATGAAGAAGAATACAATTTAATAACTCTGTGGTTATTGAAGACAACATTGACGCAATGAAATTTACGTATCATAAAACTTGTTCTGTGTTTCGTCGCTACGGATTACAATAAGTTTGTAAGACAGCTCTACAACTGCAGATTCACTATCTACCGTATAATCAGGAAGATTTGGAGCAATTTCTTTTTAACTTCTCCGAAGGTAGAAGTGCGAGACCTTCTTCCCTTTCCGTTTTTGTTTTTTGTTGGTGGATGGGATTCCTGTGATCAACGACTACCGAGCATTTCAAAAATGGCTTCACTTTAAAATACATTACAATAGGCTACTTATTTCTTATTTTCTTTGTAAAGAAATATAAGTAACATTTTCCTTTTATTAATAAGTTATGGATAATCAATTTGACTACACATTCTATAGACATCGTGGAAAGTATATACTTGAACAGATTAATATATTTATTAATATATTATATTTTAGAAAAATATCATAATATCATATTTGTATCATAAGTTTAGTATCCAAATATATGACGGACTGTTTTATTACTTTTTTAATGCTTAAACAATCTTATATAATAAATAAAAGATCATTACCTTTTTATTGGCTAAGATTCTAGCCACAAATTTTATATTCAAAATCAATTGATGCTGGTGTAAGAATACTTTTGTGATAGGTTGTATCTATCACTAACATATGGACAAAAGTGATTAGCAAGTGTTACTACTTCGGTGCTTGTTACATTAATGGGAACATGGACGTGAATGCTTTTTTAAAACATTAACGATAGTGGAAAATACCATTAAAATAGACCAAAATGGATAATAATGAAAATGGATTGTCTTGAAATTCGATTAGACAAATACATTGGAACTTGATAATTTTGTATCGATGCTCTCACTTGATTTTCATACATTTTTGTTCAATCTTCTTATGAAAATTATATTGAAGCAAAAACGTGTTTTCAAAGAATTCATTTCAAGTTTTAAAAATTATAACAATTGAAGAACTATACAATATTTTGATGTAAGTATATTTATATTTTTTCAACATATCAATAAATAATCTGCTGGAATCAATTAAAATACATTCGACAATTAAATGCAATTTATTCCATTATTAGATTTAAATGTAACGCAATACAAAGTGGACAGGTAAAATCCAGGTGAAAATTCCATACGTTTGTTTATTTCCATTTTATAGTGAACTGAAGGGGTGGAATCATTTCTAAAATCTTTCCTTCGATACAGTTATCGATCCGATCTGTATTACGATCGTTGCGCGTAATTTGACCCTTAACAAGACAGCTCATTAAAGTTTCGTTTTATCACGATCGAAAGTTCTGTTTTCCAAATTGAAAGCAATGGCTATATCGTGGCCACCGATCTTTCGCTTACCCTTTAATCGCTGGCAAAGGCATGAACCATCGCGATCTAGGATCTATCGATCGCCGAAATTAGCATTCGAGGCGTGAACCTTTTCCTAAATCTGAGCTATCGACATCTTTCCAAATAATTTGCAGCCTATGCTAAAAACCTGATGCAATCTGCTTTGATGTACGATCAGGCCTAATTTTTGGGTTAGGATTTGATACCCTTCTAAACCAAAAGACTTATTGCGTTCAAAATTACTTATTGCAAAATTGTATTCAAGAAAAATTGATCGAAAATACAATTTTCCTCTTAATAAATATAAAATTAATTTCTTCCTAATGAAAAATTCATAGAAAAAGAATTTTCAATTTAAGTTTAAAAAACACTGAATGTTCACTGTCGATTTTCTTATTTCGTCATAGAAAAAGGGCAGTTTTTCGCAAATAAAAAGTACATTTTTTAGTTACAATCATTTCAAATGCCTGCAATGCATACCATCGCTCTCTCGACCACGTTTTTATTTTATAATTGCCAAAAATCCTTCTAGTCTGAGAATTTGAAATTTGATTTACTTCTTTTATTTGCAAAATGAAAAAGTACTTCTAGTTTTGAAAAAATCTCGAGCTATTTTAACCCTTCGCACTCGAGAGAGATGATATTTAATATTATACTCCGTATAATGCACCAATTTGAGAAATATTGAAATAAAATAGCTTTGTTCCTCAATGTATATGTAATTTTTCGTCGAGTTAGTTTCACAAAATATCTTCTCTATCTTATCAAAAAATGTTGAAATATTTCTAGTGAAAAACTTCCGAGTGCAAAGGGTCAAATTTCATAAAAAACCGTCATACTGTAAAACCATTATACTCGACATACTGTATCTTTCTTGCTTCATCTTATTATACTCATCCTCCGACATTGCAATCTGTGCTCGAGTTAATCCCTGAAAGAAGAATGTTACCCTGCTCGTGAAAATTTGAATTCTGGGTCCCGGAATTGCAAAATTTAACCTGTTCAAGGATACTAGATCATATGTGTACATTTGATTTTAATTTAACATTAACGGACACTTATTTTTTTGAATGTTTCTCGTAACTACCACCGTCCATTTTCGTGTCGTTCGATTCGTGTCAATTTGAACAAAATAAACTGCAGTTAAACGGAAACTAAGATCATCTCTGTCTGTTCCCAAAAAGAATTCGGTCCTGAAGAGGTTAAGCAAGCACTACTGTACATATTAAATTGCTGGAAAATATTTGCACCAAATCAGCATGAAGTAACTTTCCCCAGAAAATGTATACGTAAGGTTAAGCGAACCGGAACAAAATAACATTACCCCAAACTGGATTAGTAAAACTAGTCCGGTTCTGAATGCGATAAGTAAGATGTGAAAATGTTTTCTTCGGCATGGAATGGTTAAAATGAAAGTCACTAATATTATGAACAGATATAATACTTTTACTTTAACAGATATAATAATTTTTCCAAATGTTTAATAATGACTAATAGTATAGAAATAAGCAAAACAATTTCAATGAAAACTTAAAAATATTCAGAATAATATTCTTTACAGATACAACACTGTTTTAGTTTAAAATGATGGGAATCTTTATCGTCTCGAAGGAATGTTACCTGAAGGAAGTGTCATATTAAAAATATTTTAAAAGACGCTACTAGAAATATTCATAACTTTTAAAACTATTATACCTATCACTTTTAAATAAATAACGCACAAATTATTAATAGTAGAAAATTAGAAATTGAATATTCTGTATACTTTACTCCTGTTATGATGGTACCATATTATTTAGCGGCAACAAATATACACTGTGCGTGTACTTAAATAACGAAAATTCGGTTTATAGAACAGAACACAACAGAAATATAATTTCAGTGATTCATAAGTGTAAATATCTTTTTCTGTGTATTTATTTTACAAATAATTGTATTCATGATTATTTATATCTTTATGAGTGTAATAAAATATGTATTCGAATATTTTCGTTAATTATATCTATCCAAAATTCTATCTGTAATACGTGTCACACATTAAATTAATCTTCTAATTATACGTAAGAATATTAACCTGAACTCTATGCAGTCATTAAATATGTATTTACTTACATTTATTCCTTCTTTCCCTTTTTCACTTATAAGTTTCTGATACATTCCCCAATCATGTCATTAATTCTGCTGCCCTATTTATATTAATATCTTACTGACATCTATGAAAATCTTCTGCCACCAATGATACTACGTTACCACCTGCCAATACTTCTACAAATCTCATCTATTTACATAGAAGTAGAACTATCGACGAAAGATAGGATAGACTGAACAACCAATGTAATTTATGTCAATACTTACGTAAGTACCTACATAGGAACATAATTCTATTTTTATTTATTATAGGAACATAAGCCTATTTTTATTTTCATTTATATTCAGTTGGTATTTCTAATTTTACTTGCACACACTTTGCACGTGACTATTGCTTTTAATTCTACATAATAAACTTTATTTTAACAACTTTGATAACTTACTTATTTTAATAGCTTAAAAAACTTTAATTGTATTTTTTTTAATTTTCTTTTACCAGGTAGAAGTTAATATATCATCGAACGAAGACATTTATCAACCGTCAAGGGATACATTTTTTCTATGTTCAAATTTAAACACAAGAAAAAAACATTTAGTATTTTAAATTTAATATTAAGTTTATTAGTTCCAAGTAGCTAGTTGGAAGATTAGTAAAGTAGGAAAGATAGTTAAATCGAACGTATTTTCATCGATGCAACGTCGGTTACATTCATGAAATTGTATCGTTGCCGAGACTTGAGTAAACGGTGTTATTCTTAATAAAGTGTTAAAAAATTAAAAGTAATACCCAGCTAATGGATGCGAATTTGAGATCTGTTTTGTCTGCTGTATGACAGAATGCTATATCGAATATTTTGAAAGAATAATTTATTTTACATGGTAAAAGACTAAAAATTTGAGAGTGTTAATTCAAGTTTTAATTAATTGTTCTCTTTTTAATAAAATAACTTTAAACTGCCATAGAGGAAAGTGGAACAATTATAATAGAATTTAACGACAGTAAACGCTTCTAGTCTGTTTGATTAAAAGTCATTGTAATTTAATTTATTTATATGTATATTTATTTATATTTAATAAATATGCTAATCATAGACCAATTAAATTGCACAACGTTTCAATACTTGTTTATACCACATATAAGAAGTGGCTGCAGAAAGTGAAAACCATGTGATAATATAACTTAAGTGTTCATTTCTCAATACCACTTGTGTTTGACCACCTATTGGATATGTATGAGAATCTTTGTTACGTGTCATTTCAATGTATATAGGAGCAGTTTCTGCTTTCTCTGCCATTGCATTTACATCTCTAGAAAATGATTTTAATATTAATAATGAGTTAAAACACAATATTTAAACAAATTGATTCTATTTGTTATAATAATATTTTATCCTACCTATAGTACCATAAATCATCTGCATCAGGCGAATTTTTGGGTACAAATTGTGGTCTTGGTTCGTTCAACCTTAAAATTCCTGTAATTTCTACCTCACCATGTAACTCAATGTTTTGCCTTTTTGCTGGACTTTTAAAAGATTTAGGAATCCAGCCACGATTTACTAGAATCGTCAAACTGTAATTATATTTTATGAATTTTAATAAGAAAAAAACAATAGGAATACATATTACTTAAAACTATTATTCTCAACAAAAAATACTCACTCTCGATCTGATAGTTTAAAAGGTGTGATAATCCAATATCCCTTTTTAGAATTTTGGGATGTCATAAAGGAATTATCAGTTTTTGCTTCACCATCCAATATTAAATTTCTAAGCCCCTGAACAAATTCTTTATCGTATAAAAATGTTCCTTTAACTTTAATAGGATAATATTCCATTAACTTCAATTGTTCTAAACTAAATAAAATTATTTGTAAGTTTAGAAACTTAATTATTATATGTATATATTAATTATCTTACTCTGCTGGTAATTCTACAGGCTCATGAGTAGTACGTTCGTTTAAATCTTGTATTAGACCTAATTTCCATTTACGTCTTTGAATTTGCCATACACCAAGCAAAAATGTTCCAATTGGAATACTCTAAAATTATTTACATCCATTAATTAAGCAGAAGAAAATCATATATCAATTATAATAAAATTTATATTCCATTATTTTAAATATATAATTTTCAACAAATTTTTAACTTGCCAATAATAAATATCCATAAAATCCAACATTTTTAGATGACTCATAAGGATTTTTATATTTGTAGGAAGAAGATACATATAGGTTAGGTTTCTGTATACGTGATTGAAACCGTTTTTGAATGTTAACAGTATCGTACGATTTAAAAATCTGATTTCCATTCGAAAATTTAACAGAATTTATTCTGAGTTGTTCCCCCAGTTTCGTAAAAAATGTTCTGTTTACGACATTCATTTTTAGTGACACTTCATACGAATGTGTGAAAGAAAAGCAGACAGAAATGCATATGATTTTGTATCACACGAAGATAAAAGTATGTAGGTATTTAAGATATATATCTATAGTACCCTTATAAGCAAAAGAGCTATGTAACTGACTCCCCTCACGCTAGTAACTCACAAACTATGTAGTGTTCAATATACAGGTAAAAATAAGTATAGAAAGAGTAACTTTTTGTAAGGAACACTAGAAGAGTGTTCAATGAATAAACCTCTAGAGTGTCACTAGAGTGCCAATGGGCACCGATTTAAACATCCTTGGTGTAATATGAAATATCGGATTTTGCGGAAAAAAGGAAAGCTTATTTAAAATGTTGTGAAAGACGTTTACTCAATGGAAATATACGCTATTCGATTCGATACAGTTCTGTCAGCGTGTTTTTAATAAATATGTTCCTTTCTGGAAAGAATTCTGAATGTTTCGAATTAATAAATTCCAAAAACATCGTTTCGAGTTTGTCACGCGCACATTTTGTAAATAAAGATCACCGAAACGAAATTTTACAAATCAACTTTGCATTGTTCTTTCATTAACACTCTTTTAAATAATTCTCTTCATAAACAAAGGCATTAAAAGGGATAAAAATATTGAATACATTTGCAGAGAAGCTTCAAAGCATTGAACTTTGAATTTTATTACACGATGTTATTATTTGGATGTTAAATAGATAACCTTCAGTAAATAATTCGAAATACGTTCTTTATGTTTATATTAATTATTATTAGTACTGTATAAGTAAGTACTATATATGTAGTACTTAAATCTACTACTTATTGTATTTAAGCATGTAGATAAATTGCATACAGATGGTAGCATATCCTATGAAGCATTATCTACAAATAAAACTCAAACATTGAAAATATTTATTTTCTACATCGCACTATAATCTTGATCATAGAAGATATTAATTTGTAATAATTGTATGTGAAAATTATTGTTTTTATTTCCTCAGATTTTTAAGGTGCACGAGGTGTCGTACACGCACGTTGGTTCTGTAGATCTAAGCTGTAAGAAAAGCTGTACATTTAATATACACAATGTCTATACCAAATTTAGAAGTTTTTCACAAAAGGGCAGCTGCTGCGGTAAATTATACATTTTTTATTTATAGATAGAATTTCGAAATAATGTAACTTTAATAAGGTAATTTTAACTGATAGTTATAGGTTATAATTTTTATATTTATACATTACAGGAAGAGGAAATAGCAGCTTTAAAAAAACAAATCGAGTGGTTACGACAGAGTATTATAAACAATGATTCCAAATTACAAACTGTATCTAAAGATGAGTATACGAAACTGGAACAAGAAAATATTAAGTTAAAACATAGGATAGCTATCTTGAAAAGGGTGTGTTCTTTTAAGTATACTAATTTGTATGTATTAAATAAATTTTGAATTCATTTTAAATTAATCCTATTTTAAAGTAATTGTTTATTGTTTTTTTTTATTTGTTTTACATAGACCATTGAAGCTGATATAGCAAAGACGCAGAATGAGGTGAAAACGAATTCGTGTAATGTAATAAGTATATATGATACTTTATATAATTTATTTGAAAAGGCCATTTGTACTGCATATAAAGATGTGTCCAAACCTCCAGTGATTGTAACAATTAGTAGTAATCCAAAATTTGGAGACTATCAATGTAATAGTGCTATGCCACTTTCAAAACTACTTAATAATAATGGTAAGATCTAATTTGAGTATATGTAATGCAAGATAATATTAAAATATCCAAATTATTAATTACATCATGCATATTTGAACAGGGGTTAAGACATCTCCATTAGATGTTGCAAAAAGTATAATGTCTAATGTAGAAGAATCCAATTTAGTTTCTAAATTGGAAATAGCAGGTGCTGGGTTTATAAATGTGTTTTTAAAACGAGAATTTGCACAGACAATATTAAGTAATTTAGTGAAAAGTGGTAAAGTTTTACCACCAGAGACCAAAAAACAAAGAGTTGTTGTAGATTTTTCTAGTCCTAACATTGCTAAAGAGATGCATGTTGGACATTTAAGATCTACCATAATTGGTGAAAGTACTGCAAGACTACTAGAATTTTTAGGACACGATGTGTTGAGAATAAATCATGTTGGTGACTGGGGTACTCAGTTTGGAATGCTGATAGCCCATTTACAAGATAAATTTCCTGATTATTTAATTGTATCACCTCCTATTACAGATCTTCAAGTAATTAAATTTAATAAAATCATATTATATTAATATCTATTTATTGAGAACATCAGAAATAATGATTTAATAATTTTAGACCTTTTACAAAGAATCAAAGAAAAGATTTGATGAAGATCAAGAATTTAAAACACGTGCTTATAAATGTGTTGTTCAATTACAAAAATTTGATCCGGATATGATAAAGGCATGGCAATTAATTTGTGACGTTTCTAGGAAAGGTAAAATAATTTGTATAGTTTAAATTAAGTTACAAATAAATTACTAGCATAGTCTTTTCCTGTTTTATAAATATAGAGTTTGAAAAGATATATGTTCGATTGGATATTAAGTTAATAGAAAGGGGAGAATCTTATTACCAGAAACACATGGAAACTGTGGTTAAAGAACTGGAAGCGAAAGGGCTACTCGAGGAAGATGAGGGACGAAAAGTAATGTGGAGTAAACATGGCAATGAGATTCCTTTAACTATTATAAAATCTGATGGTGGTTTTACATATGACACCTCAGACATAGCAGCTTTGAAACAACGTTTAGAAGAAGAAAGAGCTGATTGGGTAATTCATTTGATAATTATAGATCTTGAATATAATTGAATACGATTTGACTAACAATTTGTTTAAATTTTTTTAATTACTACATATTTTTATACACTTTACTTACTCTACATTTTAGATAATATATGTAACAGATGCAGGCCAATCTATGCATTTTCAAATCTTATGCCACTGTGCTGAAAGAGCAGGTATTTTGAAAAGTTACCACAGAGTGGATCACATTGGATTTGGTGTAGTTCTTGGTCCAGATAAAAAGAAATTTAAAACTAGGTCCGGTGACACAGTAAAGTTAAACGACTTACTAGATGAAGGTAAATTCTTTTTTTATTTATTCTAACATATATTGAAAGTAAGCTATGATCTAATTCATTCATACATGTTCAGGTTTAAAAAGGGCACTTCAGAAATTAAAAGAAAAAGAACGTGATAAAGTTCTCACGGAAGAAGAATTAAAACAAGCTCAAGAATCTATTGCTTATGGATGTATAAAATATGCAGATTTGTCACATAACAGAAATCATGAGTACGTGTTTTCTTTTGATAAGATGTTAGAGGATAAAGGGAACACGGCAGTGTACTTACTGTATGCTCTTACTAGAATACGCTCTATTGCAAGAGCTGCTAATATCTCTCAAAAACAGTTACAAGAACATGCACAAAATACTCCAATATCACTGGAGCATGAAAAGGAATGGAAATTAGCTAAAGTATTAATAAGATTTCCTGATGTATTAATTAAAATTACAAAAGATTTGTACTTACATCAATTATGCGAGTATTGTTATGAAATCTCATGTGCATTTACCGAGTTCTATGATAGCTGCTACTGTGTTGAAAAAAATGAACATGGAGAAATAGTAAATATAAATATGGGACGTATGTTATTGACAGAAGCTACTGCACTTATTATGGAAAAATGTTTTTTCATACTTGGTTTAAAACCAGTTACACGTATGTGAATATATTTATATAATTATAGAATGTAACCCAAGAATAAAATGGATACATCCATTGTAAAGTATTGCATAATAAAAAGTATTGCTTTTACTTTCTGATAGAATCAAAATGAACAGTATTCATCTATCTTTTATTTCTACCTGTTCCTTTTATACCGAAAAATTAATACAATATATTAGGAAATTAACACATTATCATTAACTGATAAGAGATTAAAATATTACAATTAACGAATTTCTTCTAAGTTTTAATTAAAAATTGTAATTTTAAAAAATGTTTATGATTTTTTATTGAAGTTTAAAAACAGTATTATTTACATTTTTATAATAACAATAGAATATTATAATAATTGCACTTAAATTTTGTTTATATTTTTTAGTAATATATTACAATTGAATGAATTATAATTTCTTTAATTTATATACTGTTTTATTGAATATGCAAATATCTAAGGTCTCTTAATATACTTAGTAAATAAAGTACAAAAATTTACAGCGTAAAACTCTTTTCACATAAAAAATTACGTCTTTTTAATTTAAACATGCTTTATCATAATACCTAAAAAAATTGTAGAATGATAGACGAATTATAACTGCGGTTTTATACCAGTACGTCGTTATTGTAAAAATATAAATGATTTTACTTTAGAAATTTAATAAAATTATATTTCTACGACTACAACTATTTTTTCCATAAATAAATATTTACCATCTTATTATCATGGTACGAAATAAATATTTTACATTGCATCAGATTTAGTATAACGCACTGAGAAGCCAGAAAACACCCATACTATTGCGTTTTCCTCATTCCACCTTATCCCTTCCACTACCCCATTTCTCATCTGCAGGTATTCTTCACAATCTCGCACCACCACAGAACCCCATAATAACGCCAGAGAGAGGGTAAACTGTATTCCCCTCAATTTCCCCGATCCGGTCTGACGCAGTCAAGTAGCAAACCGCTGCAGTTAGTTTCTTACTTTGCGTTATGTGTTTAACACGTGTAATTGTGTTTACGATATCTGTTAATCAATAATTTATAGTTATATTAGCAAAATGGTAATTGTTAATTTTTATATTTTTGTTGAAAAAATAACTGTCTGTTATTAATTTTTTTAATGAAAATTTAAATTACATTCAATAAATTACCTAAGATATAACCTTCATACCAGCAAGTGTAACAGTTGTTTTTAGTAGAATCCAATGTGTTTTCAATTATTTAATATTAATAGTTATGAAGCATGATGAAATACATTTTGTTAATATCATTGTTTTATTTTAAGCCTATATAATGATAGATATTTTTAAAACACGTGCATATAAATATATTATGTTTGTTATTAAAAGGCAACAGAAAGGAAAGGAACATTTAAAGTAGAATATCTTCAAAAAATTGAAAAAGATGTTCAAGATAAATGGGAATATGACAAAGTATATGAACAGGATGCACCTTTGGAAGTTAAGAAATCTTCAGATGAGAAATTTTTTGCAAATTTTCCGTATCCTTATATGAATGGTAAACTTCATCTTGGTCATGTATTTTCATTGTCAAAATGTGAAGTAAGTATTTAATAAAAATATTTGAAAGATGAGGTGTGTTTCATAATTTTAATATGGTTAAATATTTATAGTTTGCAGTACGCTACAATCGATTATTAGGAAAAAAAGTACTCTTTCCATTTGGCTTCCATGCTACTGGTATGCCCATTAAAGCTTGTGCTGATAAATTGAAAATGGAAATAGAATTATATGGATATCCACCAAAATTCCCTAAAGAAGAAATTATAGAAGAAGAAGTCGCAGATACCTTGGAAATAAAAGATAAGAGTAAAGGAACAAAGGTAACATAATAATGCAAAAAGTATTTATCCCTTTTATATTCCAATAAATAATTCATTGCAGAGTAAAGCAGTTGCAAAAACAGTTAGTGCAAAGTATCAGTGGCAAATTATGCAAACCCTTGGTTTGACCCATGAAGAAATAAAAAATTTTGCTGATTCTGCATATTGGTTGGACTATTTTCCACCCCTTGCTGTACAGGACTTAAAGTCAATCGGATTACATGTAAACTGAAAAAATGTCTTGTGTTCTGTATTGTAGTTAAATGTAATCATCCAAAGGAATAATATATATGTATTCATTTTAGGTGGATTGGCGTAGAACATTTATTACAACAGATGCAAATCCATTTTATGATTCATTTGTACGTTGGCAATTTCTGCACTTAAAAAGTAGAAACAAAATAAAGTATGGAAAAAGATATACAATCTATTCACCAAAGGATGGACAACCTTGTATGGATCATGATAGATCAACTGGAGAAGGAGTAGGACCACAAGAATACACTTTGATTAAAATGAAGCTTCAAGAACCTTATCCTGAAAATTTGAAAAGTCTTTCTGGCAAATCTGTTTACTTAGTAGCTGCAACTCTGAGACCAGAAACAATGTATGGTCAAACAAATTGTTGGATTCATCCGGATATACCATACATTGCCTATTCTGTGTCAAATGGAGACATCTATATATCAACAGAGAGAGCAGCAAGAAACATGGCCTACCAAGATTTTTTCAAAGAAGAGGGAAAGATACATGTTGAACTAAAACTTAGTGGAAAAGACATATTAGGATTAGCTCTCGAAGCACCTCTCACAACTAACAAAGTAATTTATACTTTACCAATGTTGACTATTAAAGAAGACAAAGGAACTGGAGTTGTTACTTCTGTTCCTAGTGATTCCCCTGATGATTATGCTGCTTTAGTAGATCTCAAGAAGAAACAAGCTTTCAGAGAAAAGTATGGAATAACCGATAAAATGGTACTACCTTATAATCCTATACCAATTATTGAAGTACCAGAATTTGGTAATCTGTCTGCAGTGACTGCATATGACAAATTAAAAATTCAGTCTCAAAATGACAAACTTAAGTTATTAGAAGCAAAAGAAATGGTATATCTTAAAGGCTTTTATGATGGGATACTACTAGTTGGTAAATATAAAGGAAAAAGAGTTCAAGACGTTAAAAAGCAAATACAAAAAGATTTAATAAATGAAGGAAAAGTTGTTATATATTATGAACCGGAGAAAAAAATTATATCTAGATCAAATGACGAATGTGTGGTAGCTTTATGTAATCAATGGTATCTGGACTATGGTGAAGAAAGTTGGAAAAAAGAAACTGTAGAAGCTTTAAAAAATCTTAATACTTTCCACGATGAAGTGAGAAGAAATTTTATGGCATGCCTTGATTGGTTACATGAATATGCATGTTCAAGAACTTATGGACTTGGTAACTTTTTGTACTAGTTTGAAGAATATTGATTATATATATATATATATGCTATTTTAATAATTATAAATTTTAGGTACTAAGTTACCATGGGATGAGAACTGGTTAATCGAATCCCTTTCAGATTCAACAATCTACATGGCTTATTATACTGTAGCACATTTATTGCAAGGAGGAACATTCAAAGGAGATAAAGAAAATACATATAACATCAAGTAAAGTTCAAAAATTGATATATTCACGTGAACCTAAATGTGAAAGTAAAATATTGACTATATTTAGGGCTGAGGAGATGACACCAGAAGTATGGGACTATATATTTTTCAAGGATGCTAAGTTTCCAAAAACAAATATAAAGAAACAGGCACTAGAACACATGCGACGTGAATTCCAATATTGGTATCCTTTTGATTTAAGAGTTTCTGGGAAAGATTTAATCCAAAATCATCTCACTTTCTGTATTTACAACCACACTGCAATATGGCCTAAGCAACCAGAATTATGGCCAAAAGGAATACGAGCAAATGGACATTTATTATTAAACTCAGCTAAGGTAAAGTAAAACATTTAAAGATATACTAGGTTACTTAACGAGAGTTACAAGTATTATTTTATTAGATGTCAAAATCAGAAGGCAATTTTCTAACACTTGGTGAAGCAATAGCAAAGTTTTCAGCAGATGGTACACGACTTAGTTTAGCTGATTCTGGTGATTCAGTAGAGGATGCTAATTTTGTTGAAAGTACAGCAGATGCTGGAATTCTTAGACTTTATAATTTCATTGAATGGGTTAAAGAAGTTCTGGCTTCTAAAAGTACCTTTAGGCAAGGACAATTACGTACATTCAATGACAAAGTCTTTGAAAGGTATTTGTTAAAATATATTCATGATTTTATCTATGAAATAGATATAAATTAAATTTGTAATTTAACTAGTGAAATCAACTTAAAAATACGTGAGACTGGAGACAATTATTCAAAAATGCTATACAAAGAAGCATTAAGAACAGGTTTCTTTGAATTTCAAGCAGCGAAAGACAAGTATCTACAATTGAGTGCACTTGAGAATATAAATTGGACATTAATTATGAAATTTATAGAAACTCAAATTATTCTTTTGTCCCCTATTTGTCCACATGTATCAGAATATGTGTGGAAACTCATTGGCAATGTATGTACTTGTGTTTATTGTAGAATACTACTGAAATAATTATAAGATTATAAATTATAGCTTAAAATGAAATATTTTATAACAGGAAGGTAGCATACTAAATGCTAAGTGGCCACAGACAGGAGAAATTGATGAAATTCTTATAAAATCATCTCAGTACCTTATGGATGCTGCGCATTCATTCAGAGTTCTTTTAAAGGTTTATATGACACCAAAAAAAGGTCCAAAAGGAAAAAATGAGGCAACTATTATAGAAAAACCTATGGAAGGTACAATTTGGGTAGCTAAAACGTATCCTGCTTGGCAGAGTACTATTTTAACTACAATGAAAAACTTGTTTCTTGTAAGTAATTATTATATATTCATATATTTCATTTGGAATATATTACATTAAAGTATTTTACAGAAAAATGGCAATAAACTTCCAGAAAATAAGATTATTTCAACAGAATTAGGAAAAATGCAGGAATTAAAGAAGTACATGAAACGAGTAATGCCATTTGTGCAATTAATGAGGGAAAAGATGGAACTTCATGGATTGAATGCACTCAACTTGACATTAGACTTTGACGAATTCAAAATTCTTCAAGATAATAAAAAATATCTTGAAAATACTTTGGATGTAAGCAATAGATCTACATCAGAATTATCTTATATTTTACATATGTGTTATTTCATGTGTTTCTTCTTTTGAAATGTAGTTAGAAAATATTGAGATAAAGTATAGTAATGAAGCTCCAGAAAAAACGAAAGAAGAATGTTGTCCAGGCTCACCATACATGAATTTCTTTAGTTCTGGTTTTTCAGTATGTGCTATTAATCCGCAGAAATGTAGTGGTTTATTTAGAATGACTATAAAGATAATGAATAATGACACTGGTGCAGATGTCATTTCACGAATAACGAAACAAAGCAAATTAATAAAGAGTATGTATTTTTTAATATGTATTTAATTTATTATAATTTATATTAACCAATATAATGTCTGTTTCAGATTCATTATCTGTTTCCTTATATCGTTATAACGATCCTTACATGGGATCTAGAACTAAGCCAGACGCTGATGATATTGTGAAAGGTAAAATACAAATTTCTCCTGACTCTGTATTTATCGTAGACATAGAAAACAAAACCGCTAAATTAAAAGATGAACGGGGTGTATACGACATCGGTAATGAATTAGTATACATAGTGCACAAGAATGGAAATTAAAATACAGGAATTATAATACTTTTTCATATAATACATGTAAATTAAATAATATTATTTATAATCATACATATACTATTAAATATTATATATAATATATTTATGTATAATTTTTGTAATGTTAATAAAATAATTTAATAAAATTGATCTTTAATTCTTCGTATTTAAGGTAAAACAAAATTTATTTTTTATATATTTGAAACAATATTGCTTAATAATGTCAGTTTATACATACATGTGTCAAAAAGTGTCTTTAAGGTCAACATCTTTTAAAATTGTAAAATTATTTAAATATCATGTGTATATAGAAAGTTCTAGGTTTGTTTTTTGTTCTCCCAAGTTTTTACTTCTGCCTGTATTTTTTTTATATCCTCAGCATATGTCCTACAACATCCACCTATGTATCGAACACCCAAATCCAACCATTCATGTACAAATTGATGTAAAGGGTATTCTCCTTCCTCTTTTATCCAACCAGATTCCACAGTATATTTGTCACCACTGTTAGGATATACTACTAAAGGTATGAATTCTTTTTTACATCTTCCATTAATTGCTTTCAACAAAGGTGTTACGTTTTGTGGCGCAATGCAGTTAACACCAACAGCTAGAATTTGTCCTCGTGAAGCTTTCTTATAACACTCGGTAATAACATTATGGAAATTAGATCCATCAGCTATACTGCATCCATCATCACGACAAGAAAAAGACAACCAAGCTTTAGTATTTGGGTATTCTTTTAGCAAAGTGACCAGTGCTTCTCCTTCTCGTTTACAAGGTATTGTCTCTATTGCTAATATATTGATACCACTATCAATTAATTTATTAATGCGTGGTCTGTGCCAGTCCATAAGAACTTTTTCAGACACAGATGAACAATATTTACCAGTATACTCTGAAGCATCATGCAAACAGGCACCATATGGTCCAATAGATCCAGCAATTAGTGGATTCTCATTTATAATATTTTTATCACCTTTTATTTCTTTTTTATATAAGTTCACAGCTTCTTTGGCATAATCAACAGCTTTACTGAATATATCAAGACTCTCCTCTTCTGTTAAGCCCATATATTTAGAAAAACCATCAATAGATGCCTGATAAGTATTTGTAAGAATTATTTCAGCACCAGCTTTCAAAAAGTCCAAGTGTGTAGAAATAATAGCATTTGGATTTGTAACAAGAAATCGCGCTGTCCACAAAGGATCACCATCTATTATATCACCCACATGAGTTGCTAATTGTGTAGAAAATCCGCCGTCTAACACTTTTATTGTTGACATGATTTTGTTAGGAAATTATTGTATTTGTAGTATATTTCTTTATATAAATTGTATCGCGACAAATTAACTTCTACAGATCTGCGCACCAGTCGGTTGTTTAAATGTTTCTGAAAGTCTGAGGCAATACATTCTCCAAGTGGCTACATAGAATGATGTTAATCCAAAGTCCATGAAGAAATCTCAGATAAGTACTACACTGAACGAAGTTTAAAAACGATATGTTTTAAATTTATGTTTTTTTATATCTATATCGGAAAAATTTTGTTATCAATTACCTATTATTTCAACTACCTATCTTCAGTAATTACAATAAATTATGTATTCACATAAAATACTAATATTTATAATATTTTCAAGCTTTTCAATTTGTATCTAACTTAGAACTGATAAGTACAGTAAATATTTATTTTTGAATATCTGTCATCAGATAAGTTTGAGCATGCAGTAAGCGTGTTTGGTCTTTATCGGTATCTCTTTCATAATATACTCTCTATTACTTAACTATTGTTTAGGGATAACGATACCATATTAAACTCTTTAATATTATATATATATATATATATATATTAATTCAAAATTATTACATTATTTATATAATTTATATAAAAAATACACATTTTCAGATAACATTTGTAATTGAAATAGATTTTATTTAAAGTACAAAATAACTAAAATATTGAATAAAATTTATTACATTATTGCTGCAATTTTGTCTTGAAATTATTTACTGCTTTTCTGATAGATTTGATGTTTTCTGAATACACTCTGCAACAACCTCCAAGATAACGTATTCCAAGTTCCAACCATTCTGGCACAAAATTTTCTATCGAGTCGCAACTTTCATTCCATATCCATCCTTCAGTTGAAGAATAAATTTCTCCACTATTGGGATATGCTATTAATGGGATGAATTCATTTTTCTCATCTTTATTAATATTTTTTAGTAAAGGAGTTACATCAGTTGGAGCAAGACAATTCACACCAATGGCAACTATTTGCCCAGGTAAAGCCATCCTGTAACAGCGAGTAGCTACTTCTTCAAAATTACTTCCATCTACTATGTTTAGGCTATTTCTTTTACAAGAAAATGAAAGCCATGCTTTAACATTTGGATATTCTCGTAAAAGTTCAACCAATGTTTCTGCTTCTTGATAACAAGGTATAGTCTCTAGTGCCAATAAATCAATACCAGCATCTACTAAAATATCAATACGTGATTTATGCCAATGTTTCATAATCTCACGATGTGTGGTTTTACCATAAGCTCCATTATATTCTGAACCATCGAGTAAACTGGCTCCATAAGGTCCACAAGAGCCAGCAATTAATGGATTTTTGTTTTCAATTTTATCATTTTCTGATGTTTCTTTTGTGTAATCTTTAACTGCTTTTTTGGCAAAATTGACAGCTTCACATAATAAATTTTTACTTTCTTCTTCAGTTATAGATAAATGTTTCATTAAACCAGAAACTGATGCTTGATAAGTGTTAGTTTCTATGATATCTGCTCCTGCTCTTAAAAAATCTAAATGTGTTGCATAAACTGCATCAGGATTTGTTGCTAAAAATCGTGATGTCCATAATGGATCACCATCAATTTTTGCACCAACATGAGTAGATAATTGTGCACTAAATCCACCATCCAAAATGTTAACCTCCATCTTAATAAATATTACCTTATAAAAAATTGGATGTAATATGTAAATTACATAAATACCTTCTTTATAAATAATTCAAAATTCAAATTATTTATTTACGTATATCGCAAAACAAATCCAAAGCAATTTAAGAGATGAAACTATTGAATTTTTAACTATTACACTTATATTATAATGATGACATAAGAATTTTGTATCTCTTATCAATCACTTACATATAAATTCATTGTGATAACCTTTTATGTATATAGTAGAGAGACTCGAACGTTTATCGTTCTTTTACGAAAATTATAAAAGAAATATTGTAATTTTTCATTTATTAAGAAAATCTAGTAATACAAATTTAATTTAATATTTAGTAGGTAGTTACATTAATAAGCATGTAAAATGAAAATCATTAACCTTTTCAAACTTTCGGAAAATTTTTACGACCATACGATGAATAACTAAGAATTTAAATAGATATTACGTTATGGGTATTAAGCCATTTGACCGTTTAATAAATAATTAAGATTCTTTAACATAAAAATATTCGAATGAGCAGTAATATTTAATTGCATCTCTTATTGCCGGGTGCCATGTCCAAATGTGTTGATAATTTATCGATTTTTTAAACTATGAATTTCGAATTAAAAATAAATCTTTATCTACAAATGCGTTACACTCTTTATATAAATATATATGTTACAACAGAAATACCTCTAAATGTGTAAGTTGATTATTGTTAATCTCATGAACTTTGCGCATAATTGAGTAAAATGATTTGTTTCAGTATAGTATTCTACCTTTAAAATGTTTTAATTCATTCGAATGTGTATGAGTGGTATTGTACTTATTTATAATCAATTTTGAGTTATTATAAGAGGAAAATTAATTCAAATTTTAAATTGTATTTTGTGTTCATGTATTTGTTACCATTTATATGTTTCCAATATATGTTGAATTTATTCTTTACATCAATTGGTACCTTTTTTGTTAAAGCTGTATACATATAATTATTGTGTATAACATGTTTGCATAGAAAGTCTATAGCTATTTGTAAACTGTAGAGTTTTGTTGACTGTTCATAAGTGGTATGCAGAGTGGTACAACTTATCTTTTTGTCTAAAAACAAGAAATTTATACCACCAAGTTTCAAATAATAATTAAAACTGAAAATGAATGCAACAATGTGCATGATGTAGTGTCAGATATAACAAGAATAACAAATTATTAAAAATATTTTAGATAGGAATTTATGATTTATTGTTATTTATGTTCAATAATACAAAGCCAGTTTATATACCAAATAAAAATTTTACAATATTCCAAGACTTTTTTCAATAACTGCATGTGGCTGGCCCATTTGTTCTCTAAATTCAGCAGTGTTTAATATGTCTTCAAATCTACGGAAAAGTAATATTAATTAATTATAAGTAATAGGTACTTATATGTAATGGAATATTCAGATAGAATAAATAAATTGTTTACCCTATATCCTCATCTCTTCCAAGTATGACATCTTTCATTAAATTTGATGATGGTAAAAAGGGCAATCTTCCAATTTTTTCAGTTGCTTTTAATTCCATTGCTATTCGCATTGGTGCATGTATTCCTTGTGTGTTTCTAAGTAATACCATATTCATACGGTCACAGTTTTTTTGAAACTGAAAAAAGGTTATAGATGTACAAGGTACCAAAACTATAATATTATCATGATTTTTTAAATTCCTTTCTTACATTTCTTTCAGAAACTTCTAAGGGATGGGAGAAGCCTATGCTTTGTCTAGTTCCTGACAACCTAAAACATGAAACAATCATTTAATGAAAGCCATATAAACGATTGAATTTTTTAATGATACTTTCCAAGAATATTGTCATTCTTACCCTGAAACCATAGGGCTAGGTACCCCATAATTGTCATTGTGAACATTGAATTGTTCACTGACAGTTGGTTTTGGGATAAGCGGTGGCAAATTAAAACTCTGAAATTTATTACTGCATTAATTTCATCGTTACATGAGAGGTTTTAATTGACTTTACTCGTTAATTTTCTATTTTATTTTCATAATTGTATACACATCTAAAATAACCTTATAACGACAAGAAAAAGTATTTTTAAAATGTAAGTACTGAAACTTTATTACAGAAGATCTTTTGTTACAATTAAGAATGAAATCATGTATATTATTTCTTACCATTATTCTTAAAGTATGTTTAACTTAATTTTTTCAAAAAGCAAAAGTCACTTTGATTGTATTCACGACACTCTGTTTATCGTCCATAAACTTATCAAAAAATGATTTGACATTTCATAGGTAGGTAAGCAAGTACCTACCTACTTGAGTAGATGTCTCTGATAGATTTTTAAACTTTCTACACGCCACCTAGCGCTATGATACATAAATGAAATCGGAGAGGGAAATACGTATATACACATTTGCAATGTTAAAAACACTAAGGTTCATTCAAAAGATAATAATTAAAATAGAACATTTACATTTCATATTAAGAAATAGAAATGTTTTAAATTACTTTGAAGGAAACCTAGCACTGCATTTAAAGGTCTTTGATCGCTTAACATACAATTATATGAAGTTGTTGCCATTATATATACATTTGTGTCGTATAATTTATATTTGAAATGACGAAATACTTTTTCATAAATAAAATTAGTTGAATAAGTTTTTTCAGAATTATAATAAACAACTTTCATTTTTCCTTTATTTTTTATTAGCTTCTAGGGGACATATTTCAAATAGTTCAAAAAATTCTTCGGTTTTCGAAAAGGAAAGGCAGTAACAAAGTAAAAAATGGAGATATAAAAGCAGAATACTAAATTTACTTATGTTCTCAAAAGTTTTCCGGTCTAATGTATTTCTCTTATTTGATAATACATTGAGGAATTCTGACCGTAGATTCTTCTTGTTTGAATCGCCAAGTATTTTCTACTGTGCAATAATAAAATAATATTATTTTCGACATGCAGTGTATGTACATTATAATTATTTTACTTTCGATAGAGTAAAAGTTCTTACTTTTACATGAACTGTCTTTCTTGTTTTTGATAGCCTCGGATCAGGCGTGTTTTCTACTGTAGGAATGTCTGCAGTAAATTTATCATTTATGTGAGAAATAGAACGAATACAAGACATCAAGACTTACGTAGAACACGATAGTTTAATTTCATATTGTTTCCCGATGACACTAATCTCTGAAATTTATATTTTTCTATCGACTGACTCGGATAGTACTGCCATTTCAATGAAACGAAAATTACATTACTATATTTATAATATAGCTATTTTACAATGAAATATTCTCACAAAATTGTACTTACCTTGCTTATCATTTTTTCTATTGAACCTGCATCGTAGCCTAAAATTATAAATAACGGTAAAAATAAGGAATGAATCGGTGTATCTTCATTACGTGTTTAATTTTACAAAAGATTTTAAATCAAAGATCTTTTGACTGCGACTTTTTAATAAAACTTTCAGTTCATACTGATTATCTATATTTGAATTATAGAAATTCTTTGATCCATTTAGTATTTGTTTAATTTCTATATAATGAAATTAACTAAGGTCTGAGATATCAGCATATGATTTGTGTTATAATATTTAATAAACGTCTAATAATAATGTAGATGTCAAAGTTATGTAAGGTTACGTGATATTTCAAACGAAATTTTCGTACTAAAATGATCGTAATTACAATTTTCTGTTCTCAACAAAGGCTTCGCACCCTGTCGGAAATCTTGTATTTCACGAACCATGTGTTCTTAATTCAGGAAATAAAAAAGGTTAGAGTATCAAAGGTAATGTTTACATTAGAGCTGATCACTCTACTTAGTTTGCAACACTAAAAACGTCATGATCGTCAGTTATTTATTTATGGTTTTTAAATATTAACATAAGACACCTTATTCATGATTAAGTTCGTCATTAAGTTCGTATGATACAAGATTACAAATTAACTGTTTCTTCAATTTTAGAGTATTGTAATGAATGTATATTTAAATAGAAAATGATTTATTTTACCAATCATAGAGTAAGTATAAAATAAAAATATTAATTTTTATTAAGGTTTATAAATGTTCGAATTGTGGTATTGCACTAGTTCAATGTTGCATTTATTTGTCACATTGAAGTAGGGTCTCCTTTTAAGTTGTTTTTTATTCTTTTAGTCTTTTATTAGAATTTCAACATGGTCGTGGAATAAAATATATGTTGCATGTTATATGTATTCTCTATATTACAAAGAAATTTTGTACAAATAACTTTTGTAACAAATAAAATTTCTGCCGGAACTTTCGATGACTGTGTTCTTATCTATTGGTTTTTCTTAAACTATAACTATGCATCAGCTAATATAACTTGAAATTAACGAATAAAAAAGAATAAATATACATTAAGTGTACAGCATTGAAAATGTTTAAAAGTGCGAAAATGTTTAGCTATTGGTAGCGCCTACATGTATTTTAAATCTTGTTCAATCTATAGATGCTACCGTTGTCTTCTGATGTCAACTAACGTCTTTTTTTATCGTTGAATTAGTAACAGAGGATTTTTGCAGAAGTAGAACTTTTATTGAAATCTTTGATTTATGTTTCTTGAATTGAACAATTTTGAAGCACAACTATGAAACGGTGTTGCCGTCTTTTTGTAAAAGAAACAGAGACTGATTGTGAATTTGAAGAATTGACAGTTCTTAGCTATATACATGCCTAGAATATAATTTTCATTCTCATGCGTATTAGAATTCTTTAAAATAAATGTCCTCGAAAAATACCATTTCAAAATGTGCATTTCCTCGTGAAATTGTTTGTTTCCGTCATGTTATGAAACGAAGAAAATATCACGCATAAAATACGTCTTTAGTAAAAATTATACAAATTTATACCTATACTTATCTTTGTTTCTATTCAAATGCGGCAATTTATTATTACCGATGAAATACACCTATAATTTAATCAATAGTCGCTTTAGTATGGTATTAATACAAACGATTAAAGTCCAAATTATGAGTATAATGCAGAAATTTTAATATAATATTAGGTTTAAGTATTTTATTATTGATTCATATTGAACATTTCAATGTACTCAGAATACTTGGCACAGTATTATCGTAAACAGTTAATAAATATAATATACTTTTATTGCAGTAAATGTTTATCGATGTAACATAAATTATAATTTATTGACACGTTAGTTAAATATATGAATATATACTCACGCACTTACCTATGTGGACCAATGTGAATAGTGCTTTACAATGTCTCAAAGAAGTATTGTACTATTTTAGTTTAATGAATTCTATTTTGTAATTGATAACTGAATATATTATTAAATATGCATTCACACGTAATCCCAAATAAGGTATAATACAAGTATGAATGTAATCGGTTTAACGATAAGTATAATAACAACAAACATGTTGCTTGCGCAAATATAACCTCCAAAAGCGACAATTAATTTAAAGGGAAAAACAAATTTCTACTTTATTGTGTCTTCTTCTCAATTTATATTAATTGTTAATTTTTCAAAAATAATATACAGTACGAGTGATTTCTAACAAATTTAGTTAAGAAATGATTAGTTTTTCGTTATACTCTGAAGGACTTTATTTATTAGTGTAAAATAAATATTTTTTCATTTTAGAGTGAAGATGAGATGACCGTTGAAGAAAAATGGAGGTAAGAAATTAGCATAGTCATTAGAAAAGAAATTTATATTTAATATCCTAAACAAATTTTTATACAATCTGTTGACTTATTGCCAGACATAAATAATATGTTTGTGCATATATATATTCATTAATTGCAATATTATAATTCTCAATTATTTTTATAGATTAGTAATATTAATATTCCAGGGTACAACATATAAAAATGCACGAACAACATCAAGGGCACGAAGCAATGCATACACAAATGCTAATCATTTTATTAGTAACGTTATTAGTAGCACAGATTGTTTTAGTTCAATGGAAAAAAAGTCATTATAGATCATATCAGGTAAATTGATTTTAATATGTAATGTTATAAAGTTAAGGTTATATTACTTTATATACATAAGAAATATTATTTCCTTTTAGCTTATTAGTTTAATTGCTATGTGGATTATTCCATTTGGATTAAGTTTAAGAAATCATTGGTGGAGGTTTATATTTCTTTGGTTGGTATCTTCTTGTATAACAGGACTAGTTGTAAGAAAGGCTGTTCAGAAGCCTATTGCGGGTACAACACCAAGGTATATTGTAATGTTTATTAGATAATATATATTATATGGAGTTAAGTAAGTAAATAATTTTTTTCACAGACTGGTGTACAAATGGTTTCTTTTTATTTATAAGCTCAGCTATATATTAGGTATAATAAGTTATATTATAGTGCTAGCTACGTTTTTTGGTTTAAATATAGTATTTGAAGTAAAGCCACAGGAATGGATGGATTGTGGCATACTTTTGTTATTTTATGGATTGTACTTTGGAGTATTAGGAAGAGATGTTGCTGAAATCTGTGCAGATAAAATGGCTTCACATATTGGGGTGTGTACAAAAGATGAAATATTATGTACAGAATTATGATTGTGAGTAAATTCATTACATTATATAATTTACAGTATTATGTGCCAGGCCAAATGCCTACAAGGACATTAGAACCAAATGTGTGTGCTGTGTGTGGAAATAAACTTTTAGTGTCTGAAAATGAACCTGGTGTTATAGAAAATACATATAAACTCAGTTGTGAGCATGTCTTTCACGAGTTCTGTATCAGAGGATGGTGCATTGTTGGAAAAAAACAGACATGTCCATATTGTAAAGAAAAGGTTGACCTTAAAAAAATGTTCCGCAATCCGTATCCTTTTTTCAACTCATTTTTTTGTTAAATGAAATAATAAAAACTTTTTATATGAACCTTAATAGAGCATGAAGATGGGAACGTCCTCACGTTTTATATGGCGAGTTACTGGATTGGATTAGGTGGTTGGTTGCTTGGCAGCCATTAATTTTATTTCTTGTTCAAGGTATCAATTGGGGCCTAGGCCTTGAGTAAGTAGAGTTCTATTAGGATAAATTCAATTACACCTAGAACATTGTTGTTTTTCTGTAATACAAATGACATATGTAAACGACTGTATGTTTATATTTTTGTACATATGGTTGCTATTATATGTATTATTTATAACAACGAACTGTGTTACAAGCGTATAATTTTCAGTCCAAGTTATGATTACAATTTTGATTAAAGCTGCGACAAATCGCACTTTATATGATTTGAATGTTTCCTATCAGGAATAATGTAAAGATTATGAAATACTATTCACTGTATACTTCGATAGATTTTGATAGACTACCTAATGTTTAATAATGATTCTTCCAAAGAATGCATTTTTTTATTGTTTATATGAAAATTTTCATGTGCAAGCAATTATGTAACAATGAATGTAATTTTAATTTAAATCTTCATTTTGAAAGTCATTTATAAATATAGACTATTAATGTTGGTTATCCGAAGGAATTAAAATTGAAAATTCAAGTATAAATATATGATAAGTGAAATTTCAAGATAATAAAAAAGGAAAATATTTAATATGAAATTAAATTAACTCGTCAATTTGTATTTTGATATTTAAAAAAGGAGTTAAACCTTAGAAACAGTTTGATTCGGATAATCAGTATTAAAATATTTCAATGCCTGTATATAGAAATATTTTGACTTGGTGTAATTCATGTACCATTTCTTCTATCATTCCACTTCGTTACAGAACTAGTCACGTTAGATTCGCATTTTGATTAATTAAATGACAATTTTACATTGTGTACTTGTTAATAATCATAATTAAAGATACATGCACTAATTGTGTTTCTTTTATTTAAATTGCAAGCACACGAAATTGTTAATTAAATAAGAAGAAAGTATAATGAACTGCAAGAATTGATTTCGATCAGTATGTCCGGAAAAACTTTATTGTTTTAACTATAAAGAGAGACATATTTTATTTACAAGTTAAAGTATCTCCTTCCATAGAAAGTTTCAAATATAGTATTTTTCGATTTTAAAGGGACAGATAGTTAGCAATAAAATTATAATATTTCTACTTATAAGTATTACCCTGTGTATTTGCTAATTGTGATTAGATACTATAAATAGTTCACTTCTAGAAGTGTAACATTTCTAAAACTATTTTTGTACAGTAGACCAACCAAAAAAATCATGGAGATCATTGGAATACCATATTTTTTAATTTTGGCATGTATGTATTATGCTATGAAAATTGATACATTAAACATTTTGGAGAATTCGTCTTTTGCAAGCGACCTATGGAAGAATTTGTAAACCCAATTTGCTTCTTTGATAGTAAACTAATAAACAAAAACAATGCGCATAATATTGTCAATTGAACAATATTAAAATACTTATAAACACATGTGTTCAAATATTGTGCTATTTTAAAATAAAAATGTATACATCATATGTAAATCTTGTACAAATGAAATTTGAAAATTCAATTGTGTAGGTTTTCCAAACTATTCAGAATATTCAGAATTAAACGCGCCTTTTCCTGTCATTTATTTTTGAATCAAAATAAGAAGTTAATTACCCTTGTATATGCCTTGAATTAAATCCATTGAATTTCAATGTTTGAAAAAAGAAAATCTTCTTTAATATATAGGTACTATACAGTGACTACAAATATTTGTACAATCCAAGAAAAATTGTCAGTATTTTAAAGTGTTATAATTTTGTAAAAAGAATCGTAAATAATCCACATTTTAAAATGAAAAGCTTCTACTTCTACTATGTTGAGTTTGTCTTGTTTAAAGATGTTTTTTTTATTATATAAGAAATACAAAAGTGAGAATATTTTTTGTCTTTTAAATTATAAAAACTCAAAAGCATCCGTAAACGCTGAATAATTTTTTACATGACCAAATCCACCATACTCTTGAAAATTGAAATCTCTTCTTTACAATAATATTTTAAATTTTACATGATTTTTTTCGTCAAGTTACTAAACTTTGAATATATTTGAAAATGTTAAAGGCTCAAAGAAATTTTAGAATTTCTTAAATTTTCGTCAATTCTAATATTCATTGTTTAATAATGTAACGGAAAAAATCACAAATAAGTTTAAGGCTTTAAAATGAGTCCAAGTAAATCGTTGTACATTTTTCATTAACAAAGTTACAACAGTTTAAAATACTGACAATTTTTCTTGGGGTGTATGAATACTTTTTACAACCACTGTACACGTATTTCAGATGTTTGTAAATTTTATTTTTATATAAATAATATAAAATCAATTGTTAGGTATTATTAACAATTGCATTTCAAAGTTACAGACACTTGTAAGGAAATATGTTCTAAGAAATTCATTTTTATTTTTTCTTGTATGTATATTGAATTTCTTTTAAATTTTAAGTTTAATTATATAGTAATATATATAATAATCAAAACAAACTTATTATTACAAGATCTAGTATTAGTTTTTCTACACAAACATGAAATAAAGTAATGATATGATGCTTACACGAGTTGTAACTTCTCTTTATGTCCCCCAATAAAATGAAACTGAATATAAATGTGAATTTAAAAAGTTCATTAAATCTTGATAATTTGAAATGCTAGGCCTAACAAACTAAAATCTATCCCAGTTCAAGTTTTTTGGTACTAAAAGTTCAAAATTGAACACTCACAAAAATATTTTCTATAGGGGAGTCGAAATAGAAATGTTTACAAAATCAAATTTTGATTATTTATGGAAATTTCTATATTTATTTTATATTTCTATTTGATTTTAGATATTTTTATTAATATATTTTCGTGAAATTTATTTGGAGTTCTCCAGTACTTTTATAATTACAGTTGTGTTAACATTTTATTTTTTAAATATCATATATTCTAAAAAGCTTCATTACAAAACTTTCTAAAATAGATTTTGTTGAATCATCGCACAACATTTCGATATTTAGAATTAGTTTGAGAATATTTATATGAAATTTGATACTGTCTTCGGAATGAAGAAATGAACAAAAAACGTATTTTCTATTAATATAAAAAGTCACAATAGACGATTTATCTTATATATAATTTTTCCAGCAAAACTACAGTGGAAGTGGAAACTCTTCCGATGAGGACTACAACCCAAAATGTTTAAGAGTCGTTAATCTTTAAAAGTCATTTTAACGTACGTATATTATTTTTTAATAACAAATTTGTTGAGGAAAAACTGATCTGATTAGAACGAAAGTGATAAAAAAGGTGTACTGTTTAAGAAAAAATTTTATAAAATACGTACCACGTTAGATTTATGACATTTTGGATTAAAGAAAGAAAGCAGGGGCTATATATATACGTATAAAAGTTTTTTTTCTGATGAATCAAATTGTTACTTTTACTGTATTGTATAGTATCTTATCTTGCAGTGACGAATACTTCAAAAAATGAATTTTATTCGTCGTACATAGTATAGAAATAAGAGTTAACTACATTGCATATAATCAAGTTCCTGTATTGATCTGTTATATTATTTGATATAAATATACACCTAATAATTCGTGTTTGGATAAATATAATCCAGTGGAGGTTGTCCCACAATATATTATAAAATTAATTGCAGCAAAGTGCAGAAAGTATAAAAATAATGAAAATGTTTATACAAATGTGTGCCATATTTACTCTTATCCCTGATTGATCAATCATTCTTCGTTTCTCGCAGTTGAGTTAGGTAGACTGAGCTAACATTGTTGATTCTACTAATAAATTGTATATAATTATCGGTAATTCTGTTTTCCGTATCCATACCTTCATTTACGCGGAGCATCTGTTTCACGTAGATTCATTTTACGCGAATGAAAATCGCTTAAATAGAGTTTCTCAGTACAAAAGAAAACAAAATATTGGAAAGTAAAGCTGGTATAGGTTTTAGAAATACATATTTATTTCACATAATTTAACAAGAAGATAATAATAATAACATTTCAGAAAAAAGAAGTAAATTTTATTTGTCAATTATAACCGTGACTTTTTTCGTCACTAAATTTAGATCGCGTAAAAATAATACCGCATGAATAGTGTTATAATTTACCCACGTAAAAAGGAGACTCGCTATTAAAATGTGCCACGTAAATGGAGGGAAGTATGTATAATCTTTAAAAAAATGTTTCATTTAAAATAAAACACTACTATTATAGTGTTGCATTCTCATTGATGGTGTATGTAGGCACCCAGATACGTTTTGATCACTTTTTATTGTAGTTACATAGGGAGAATGCAAAAATTATTTAGAGATGTACTTTAATAGCACAGATTTACATGAATGGTTTTCAACAAATCAGTGTTCTTCGTTCACTATTAAGATGTATAATCCATGTAATGCATGTTATGAAATTTTGTGTATGTATCTATCATGTATGTTGATATTATTTGTTAAACGGATTCGGTGCGGGATTAAAGTTTCCGTATAATAAAGATATAGCAAAAAACAATTTTTCGTATCATTGATTATATACTCATTATGACAAATATGCAAAAACGAAAAAAAAAGTTGACTATTATATATGCATGACATATGAAGTGTACACCTACCTATATTCATATTTTGATTATACATTGTTCTCCCACAGCACTCGAAAGGTTAAATGAAGTTTGTGATATCAGCGATACCAATAAAGTAGTTACTGTAAATTCTTACTAAAGCTACTGTGATAAACATAACGCACGTTCAAATACGGAATTAATAATTAGCCTTTCTTTATGATGGCAAGTATGTGAAACAATTTAGCGGAGATACATCAAGCTTTTATTGTATTTGTACATTTTAATTGACGAGATAAATTTTCTTTCAATTTTAAATTTTATGAAATATTTCTTGAAAATAAAAAACATATCACGCAGATGTTACTAGTTTAATGAATATTTTAAATATATATGTAAGTCATGACGTATGATTGTCACTGTTCATTACAAGATAATAAAAAAATTCGATGTTCAATTCCTGCGGTAAACCCAAGACTTCATCGTTTCGGTATTTGATAACTCGTATCGATAGGTATTGAAGTTATATGTTTCATTTCCTTTTTTTTTAAATATATTTTCTGGGCGGATCAAAAAGATGGTACCAATGAATTTGTTTTTGAATTAATCTTTTTAAAGACGTAGATTGAGAATAAAATTGAAAAGTTTCTCTAGCATATTTCACATAGAAATTTGTTTGACATTTCGGCAATTTGTTAAAGGACGTTTCTTACTTTATTGTTACTCTATTTCTATAATTTTCGTTATATTTTACGTATTCTGTTCGAGTTGGAAGCGAAAAGTTTATATCAATCGATAGGATTATTAATAAAAAAGTCTAAATAAAAAATGTGAAAAACAAAGATAACCGTACTTCGCAGAAGTGTGCCAGCGGTATTTTATTTTTACTTGAGCTCGTTAACAAACATCCGAAATGTATCAGAAACGCTTCTTAGTTTTATCCCATAATATCCTGCATACTTAGATATCGTTGCATCGTTTGTTCGAAGCGTTCTATGAGACGCGACATGGTCCGTCGAGTTCACGGAAAAAGAGAAACAAATGACAACAACTTTGTCAGTGATGTTACTAAAAGTCTTTAATTAATCCTTATTATTATCATATAGCAAAAAACAACTTTTATCACATCACGCATTCGTAGGTACTTTTGCAAACGTTTGGACTCACAGCGAGAGCACCAGATACATATGTATATTTATATATATATTTATATATATATAATATATATTTGTATATTTATATATAATATAAATAATCTATTTATACACTTACGACTAGAAGCCTCTCGTTATCGTCATGGTAGAACTGTACGACGGTTGTCAATGAAGGCGAGGTAGGAACATTTAACGGAACAATGGACCAGAAACACAACGAAACACGATAATAGAGGTGAAGAATCGATTGTGGATGGTTCAGACGTCACGATATCGACGGGATCAGCGGGATGGGTCATGGGACAGACAATCACAAACACTGGGAAATTTTATAGATATATTTATTGAGTACTTAGCGTGTAAGAGTATAGAATATATGTTACCTTATTGTTAAATATTATTACATGGTATCATATATAATGATGTAGTCTTTAAAATAAACCTCACGCGGGACAGATTACGCGCGCGCGCGTGTGTAGTAGGCGGACAAGATACATCCGAAATCATAAAATCGTTCAGGGGGGGCCATAAAAGTCTTTTGAACACTTTCGTACGACCCTTTTCTCAAAAATGTGAAATGGAAAGAGATCTTAGAGTTGGCCCAGGGTCGTGAAAAGTGTTAGGGTTTGGATTCGGTTTTCATTAGGTTCACTTTGAAAATCAGTGCTTTTCTAACGAAATACTGTGTACACAAGCCTAACTACCGTTTAGGCCCAGCGTGAGGCCTGTTTAAATTGTTAACTCGTCAATGGTATAAGTTATCCTTGCGAGTTCGCTGTATCTTGTCCGCCAACTGTACGAGTGTGTGGTTCTTCTTGTATGAGTGTGTATGTGTATGTGTTCTAAACGTATTTACATAATGATCGCAATTAATATGTACAATCTCCACGAAAGGACAAACACAAGATACAGAAGAACGGACGAACTGCGATGAGCGGCTGAAATAAGAGGCCGATGGGATCGATTTGGGTTCCATGGGATCCTCTTTCTATACTCATCATCTGAGTCCTGCAATCGCCGACTACGAATAGCGAGGAAGGAGTCATTGTCCTTTGTTTTTTCTCACTTCTGTTCTACAAGGTGGTACACAAAGTAATTGTAAAACTGTTACAGCAAGTTTGGTAAACAATGGTGAACAGAAAATCTCTAATACCCTGTGGGGCTGCGGGTCTATGATATATGGTGACATGTGACTGATTTTTACATGTATTCTTCATTTTTAACGCTATTTTTCTATGTAACAAAACATAAATCAACTGTAAATTGCAGTATTATTATGGAACACCGAGATTTTTCAGAAAATAACATTATTTATGCGAATGTCACTTGAATGGAAAACAATATCGTTCCAGGGAAGTTAGGTAACAGATAAAAACAGTAATTCAAAGGAATACTTTACTTGGTATATACCAGTAACGTCTCGACTAAATGATCAGTTTCGTATTGTGTCGTTATGAAATCTGTGTGAAGGACTTGGCTCAATTAAGATTCTGTTAGTGGGTATGAACGTGATCTATAAAGTACACAGCTCTCCTTTTCACAATAAGCGTCCAAACGTGCTGAAAAAAAGATTTCCAATTACTTTATAAAACTCCCTTCGCACATTTCCGCAGAAAAATACAAAGGGTAACATGCTCAGCTGACTTCTCGCGTGTATGTACGAAAATGTTACTATCGATAACTGCAAATATATACCCTAACAATCGACACCGTCGGTGTCTGATTCGTCCGAACCATGCGGGAGCCATTTTTCGAGAACAATTATAGAAAAATCTCACCATTACGTTGAAAGGATTATAGCGATCGACGAAACATGAACGAAAGAGAAATCGGAATTTTTAGTCAACGACGCGTGGTTATGTACAAAAAGGAGCGGAGGACACGCAGTCGTCGCAATCGGTGAAAGGAAAACATAACGAGACATCGGGTATTTACGAACCGCACTGTACCTTCGGCCGCCAAGATGGCCAGCGCAAGCCGGTCGAAATTTTAACGGTACCAAAAAGGAAACGCGCACGACTTCTCTCCCTTCTCAGCTATTATTTAACACAATTTGTTATATATTAATATACCATAACAATTCTCGCTTCCTACCATTCATTCTTGCTCTCATTCTCTCCCTCTCTCTTGTTCCTTGTTCACGCTATTCTTCTCTCACTCTCACGATAATGCTTCTCTTTCGACTTTCTTGCTCTCCTCATCAGACGCATTAGATCTTGTTAGACATACACGATAGTTACGAAGTATTGCTTTTTTTTTAGTCGCGTGCCGATCGTGGTTCGCCCTCCAATCGAGTCACAGCGGACGATTTCCCGTCGACGACGAAGGTCTCATGTCAATTGTAACAATAATAAATTTCGCAACCCCGCCGCTGCGATCGAGACTCCGCAAGAATTCTGCTCTCTGAAAACTTGTTCCTCAATGATTTATCCTTTCCCAGATTGGACGTATTTTGTGATTATCGATGATCCGCGGGGACACCGTTCCCTCCCTACCTTTTCTTTTCAATTCGGCCCTCGCCAGCAGAATTCTCTCGGCGCTGCTCGCCGCTCGAAGGTAACCACGCCGCTAAGCGTAAAGTTAACACGAGTACAGGACTGTTCATCGTTTTGTTTTCTTTTTCTCTCTCCCTTGTTTTATTTTCCTCACGCGCGTATCGTGAGCGAATGAATACACATAGAAAAGTGGTTAATTCTCTCGCATGCTGAGCATTTTAGAACGCTATTACGTGGTGCATAGTAGGTATCGGAGGATTAAAAGGAATACAAATAAGGCAAGCACTGTTCGGCGGTGCCAATTGTTACAAGGGATTTGAATATCGGCGAGTTTGTGGTACTAGTTGAATTCAATGGAAAGTTACAGTTGACGGAGATACAGATGCAACCATTGTGATCGTATTTGAGCGTAACTTTTCCTTAATATTTTTATTTCAACGTTCGGATCAACATCAAACATTTTTTTGGGGAAACAGTTAATTTAATATTAAATAAGATTTGGATTATTATAAGCATATTTGAATTATTATACAAGTCATTGTTCGTACTGACATTGCAGGAGATTTTTCAGTAAGAAAGATGTAAGATGTAAAATGAGAAATGCATTTTGAATGCGAACTTTTTCGGTGTATCTCTTTATCCTGACTTATCTTTACAGGTACATTTTTGGTTATTATTTGAATTTCTTCAAGAAAAAGGAAAATCGCTGAATATTTCAGTGGGTTTTTGTTATTTCTAAATAAAATATTGGCATTTAATAATTGAAACCTTTATTTTCATTTCACGAATAAGAATAAATACTTCCTCGTACTCGAAATCGTTATGTACAATATTTCGCGATCATTTATCGCCAGAGATTCAAAATGACGATGACGATTTTCGTTTGCCCTTATTGGATTTCATTTCAGATAGAAAGAAATATTTTAAACACGAACTCGCTATCTTAAACGGGATGATTGTCGAATCCACTTTGTTCAAACAATTTTGCTCCGTCATTGTGTACTGCAAACTCGACGATATTCGAACGCTTCTTGAACACTTCGCACATCGTTCCACATGTTTCGGGAGAAAAATCGCCAAGGTATCCGAAGGGATCGAAATCTAAGGACACAACGGAGGATAAACTCGAGGAATGGCGAAAAGGAACGTCACACGTCTCTCCTATCGCGTTGCGAAACGAGCCCGCAGCCGTCAATGGCTTCGAAAATTTTTGTCGAGGAGCGAATTAAAATTCGCGCGCGTATACGAGTACCATGTCTCGGGTATTGAAAACGGTGAATCACAGATTGATATGCCTCGTGTTAGCTCGGGCTCTATCTCACCGATCGAAGGGAAATTTCGATAGGGTCTTGGAAATACTGACGGTGGTTCAGTGAACGGAAATGGAACTGTCGTGTTTGGTGAAACGAAATGATCGAACCGGACCGAAACGGCACGATCGGAATCGGAAAAAAAAGGTCGGTTCGTTCGTTCGTTCGTTCGACCATACGAACGAACAGCGCGCTGTGTCGGACAATCGGTTCCCCGTTACTTCGTAGAAAATTCTTGTTTCGCGTGAACACGGACGCTACGTGGATTTACGACGATACTTGGCTATACACAATGGATATGTACAGCGGCGGGTGGTTTAATTCTTTAAGGGTTCTCGCGCTAGCACACTCTTAACCGTTTTTTTTTGTTTCTCTAAATCTCTCGTCCCAACTAGTACGTTACTTGTAATTATGATTATGTATGTTTTGCTTTGAATTCACCGTACAAACTACCCGGAACACAACGCGGCCGAGCCCGTGTGGCGGCCCGAGCACGTTGGCTCGCTATTTTGCTATTACGTTATTATACCGTACGTATTATATAGCGTGTTTTTTCGTCATTTTTCCATTAGCATTTTCTTTTTTACTTTCTATGCTCGGTTTAACTTCACCCACGATCCGAAACCACAGAGAGCTCTCGATCTACGATTTTTTGGTATTTTCTTTTTTCTCGCCTTTTCATTTACCCAATATTGATAAACACCGACCAGTTCCGCTATATTCATACAGAGAGGAGTTTTCTTCTTA